ATAAATGGACTTTTATGTTTTCACTCAAAAAATCGATTTTCTATAGGAAAAGAAGTGATCACAGATTATCATTGTTTTGGCTCTATCTCGTATAGTTTCCAAGATAAATGGACTTTTATGTTTTCACTCAAAAAATCGATTTTCTATGGGAAATGGAAGTGATCACAGATTATCATTGTTTTGGCTCTATCTCTTATAGTTTCCAAGATAAATGGACTTTTATGTTTTCACTCAAAAAATCGATTTTCTATAGGAAAATGAAGTGATCACAGATTATCATTGTTTTGGCTCTATCTCTTATAGTTTCCAAGATAAATGGACTTTTATGTTTTCACTCAAAAAATCGATTTTCTATAGGAAAATGAAGTGATCACAGATTATCATTGTTTTGGCTCTATCTCTTATAGTTTCCAAGATAAATGGACTTTTATGTTTTCACTCAAAAAATCGATTTTCTATAGGAAAATGAAGTGATCACAGATTATCATATCATTGTTTTGGCTCTATCTCTTATAGTTTCCAAGATAAATGGACTTTTATGTTTTCACTCAAAAAATCGATTTTCTATGGGAAATGAAGGTGATCACAGATTATCATTGTGTTGGCTCTATCTCTTATAGTTTCCAAGATAAATGGACTTTTATGTTTTACTCAAAAAATCGATTTTCTATGGGAAATGCAAGCGATCACAGATTATCATTGTTTTGGCTCTATCTCTTATAGTTTCCAAGATAAATGGACTTTTATGTTTTCACTCAAAAAATCGATTTTCTATGGGAAATGAAGTGATCACAGATTATCATTGTTTGGCTCTATCTCTTATAGTTTCCAAGATAAATAGGACTTTTATGTTTTCACACAAAAATCGATTTTCTATGGGAAATGGAAGTGATCACAGATTATCATTGTTTTGGCTCTATCTCTTATAGTTTCCAAATAAATGGACTTTTATGTTTTCACTCAAAAAATCGATTTTCTATGGGAAATGGAAGTGATCACAGATTATCATTGTTTTGGCTCTATCTCTTATAGTTTCCAAAATAAATGGACTTTTATGTTTTCACTCAAAAAATCGATTTTCTATGGGAAATCCAAGTGATCACAGATAATCATTGTTTTGGCTCTATCTCTTATAGTTTCCAAGATAAATAGACTTTTATGTTTTCACACAAAAAATCGATTTTCTATGGGAAATGGAAGGGATCACAGATTATCATTGTTTTGGCTCTATCTCTTATAGTTTCCAAGATAAATGGACTTTTATGTTTTTACTCAAAAAATCGATTTTCTATGGGAAATACAAGTGATCACAGATTATCATTGTTTTGGCTCTATCTCTTATAGTTTCCAAGATAAATAGACTTTTATGTTTTCACTCAAAAAATCGATTTCCTATAGGAAAAAAAGTGATCACAGATTATCACAGTTTTGGCTCTATCTCTTATAGTTTCCAAGATAAATGGATTTTTATGCTTTCACTCAAAAAATTGATCCTCTATAGGAAATGGAAGTGATTACAGATTATCACAGTTTTGCCTCTACCTCTTATAGTTTTCAAGATTAATGGACTTTTATGTTTTCAATAAAAAAAATCGATTTTCTTTGGGAAATGGAAGTGATCACAGATTATCATTGTTTTGGCCCTATCTCTTATAGTTTCCAAGATAAATGGACTTTTATGTTTTCACTCAAAAAATCGATTTTCTATGCGAAATGCAAGTGATCACAGATTATCATTTTTTTGACTCTATCTCTTATAGTTTCCAAGATAAATGGACTTTTATGTTTTCACTCAAAAAATCGATTTTCTATGGGAAATGGAAGTGATCACAGATTATCATTGTTTTGGCTCTATCTCTTATAGTTTCCAAGATAAATGGACTTTTATGTTTTCGCGCAAAAAATCGATTTTCTATGGGAAATGGAAGTGATCACAGATTATCATTGTTTTGGCTCTATCTCTTATAGTTTCCAAGATAAATGGACTTTTATGTTTTCACGCAAAAAATCGATTTTCTATAGGAAAATGAAGTGATCACAGATTATCATTGTTTTGGCTCTATCTCTTATAGTTTCCAAGATAAATGAACTTTTATGTTTTCACGCAAAAAATCGATTTCCTATGGGAAATGGAAGTGATCACAGATTATCATTGTTTTGGCTCTATCTCTTATAGTTCCCATAATAAATGGACTTTTATGTTTTCACTCAAAAAATCGATTTTCTATGGGAAATGGAAGTGATCACAGATTATCATTGTTTTGGCTCTATCTCTTATAGTTTCCAAGATAAATGGACTTTTATGTTTTCACGCAAAAAATCGATTTTCTATAGGAAAATGAAGTGATCACAGATTATCATTGTTTTGGCTCTATCTCTTATAGTTTCCAAGATAAATGAACTTTTATGTTTTCACGCAAAAAATCGATTTTCTATGGGAAATGGAAGTGATCACAGATTATCATTGTTTTGGCTCTATCTCTTATAGTTTCCAAGATAAATGAACTTTTATGTTTTCACTCAAAAAATCGATTTCCTATAGAAAAAAAAAGTGATCACAGATTATCATTGTTTTGGCTCTATCTCTTATAGTTCCCATAATAAATGGACTTTTATGTTTTCACTCAAAAAATCGATTTTTTTATAGGAAATGCAAGTGATCACAGATTATCATTGTTTTGGCTCTATCTCTTATAGTTTCCAAGATAAATGGACTTTTATGTTTTCACTCAAAAAATCGATTTTTTATAGAAAAAAGAAGTGATCACAGATTATCATTGTTTTGGCTCTATCTCTTATAGTTTCCAAGATAAATGGACTTTTATGTTTTCAAGCAAAAAATCGATTTTCTATAGGAAAATGAAGTGATCACAGATTATCATTGTTTTGGCTCTATCTCTTATAGTTTCCAAGATAAATGGACTTTTATGTTTTCACGCAAAAAATCGATTTTCTATGGGAAATGCAAGTGATCACAGATTATCATTGTTTTGGCTCTATCTCTTATAATTTCCAAGATAAATGGACTTTTCTGTTTACACTCAAAAAATCGATTTTCTATGGGAAATGGAAGTGATCACAGATTATCATTGTTTTGGCTCTATCTCTTATAGTTTCCAAAATAAATGGACTTTTATGTTTTCACTCAAAAAATCGATTTTCTATGGGAAATGGAAGTGATCACAGATTATCATTGTTTTGGCTCTATCTCTTATATATATCTGTTTTTACTCAAAAAATCGATTTTCTATAGGAAAAAGAAGAGATAGCAGATTATCATTGTTTTGGCTCTATCTCTTATAGCTTCCATGAGAAATGGACTTTTATGTTTTCACTCAAATAATCGATTTTCTATAGGAAAAAAAAGTGATCACAGATTATCATTGATATTCTATAGGAAAAAGAAGTGATCACAGATAATGATTGTTTTGGCTCTATCTTTTATAGTTTCCAAGATAAACGGACTTTTATGTTTTCACTCAAAAAATTTATCTTCTATGGGAAATGCAAGTGATCACAGATTATCATTGTTTTGGCTCAATCTCTTATAGTTTCCAAGATAAATGGACTTTTATGTTTTCACTCAAAAAATCGATTTTCTATGGGAAATGAAAGTGATCACAGATAATCATTGTTTTGGCTCTATCTCTTATAGTTTCCAAGATAAATGGACTTTTATGTTTTCACTCAAGAAATCGATTTTCTATGGGAAATGGAAGTGATCACAGATTATCATTGTTTTGGCTCTATCTCTTATAGTTTCCAAGATAAATGGACTTTTATGTTTTCACTCAAAAATCGATTTTCTGTAGGAAAAAGAAGTGATCACAGATTATCATTGTTTTGGCTCTATCTCTCATAGTTTCCAAGATAAATGTGCTTTTATGTTTTCACTCAAAAAATCGATTTTCTGTAGGAAAAAGAAGTGATCACAAATAATCATCGTTTTGGCTCTATCTCTTATAGTTTCCAAGGTAAATAGACTTTTATGTTTTCAATCAAAAAATCGATTTTCTGAAGGAAAAAGGAGTGATCACAGATTATCATTGTTTTGGCTCTATCTCTTATAGTTTCCAAGATAAATGGACTTTTATGTTTTTTATCGATTTTCTATGGGAAATGCAAGTGATCACAGATTATCATTGTTTTGGCTCTATCTCTTATAGTTTCCAAGATAAATGTTTTATGTTTTCACTCAAAAATCGATTTTTTATAGGAAAAAGAACTGATCACAAATAATCATCGTTTTGGCTCTATCTCTTATAGTTTCCAAGATAAATAGACTTTTATGTTTTCAATCAAAAAATCGATTTTCTATGAGAAATGGAAGTGATCACAGATTATCATTGTTTTGGCTCTATCTCTGGTAGTTTCCAAGATAAATGGACTTTTATGTTTTCACTCAAAAAATTGATCTTCTATGGGAAATGGAAGTGATCACAGATTATCACAGTTTTGCCTCTATCTCTTATAGTTTCCAAGATTAATGGATTTTATATTTTCAATCAAAAAATCGATTTTCTATGGGAAATGGAAGTGATCACAGATTATCATTGTTTTGGCTCTATCTCTTATAGTTTCCAAGATAAATGGACTTTTATGTTTTCCCTCAAAAAATTGATTTTCTATGGGAAATGGAAGAGATCACAGATTATCATTGTTTTGGCTATATCTCTTATAGTTTCCAAGATAAATGGACTTTTATGTTTTCACTCAAAAAATCGATTTTCTGTAGGAAAAAGAAGTGATCACAGATAATCATTGTTTTGGCTCTATCTCTTATAGTTTCCAAGATAAATGGACTTATATGTTTTCACTCGAAAAATCGATTTTTTATAGGAAAACGAACTGATCACAGATAATCATCGTTTTGGCTCTATCTCTTATAGTTTCCAAGATAAATGGACTTTGATGGTTTTACTAAAAAATCGATTATTTATTGGAAAAAAGTGAATATTATTTGCTTCCGATATACTGAAGTTTTTCCCTTTTTATAATAGAGAACTATATGAACTACAGGAATTCGCTGCACCTGAAATCAACGAATACTACTGTTCCAAGGAAATAACCTGCGACATTAGTACTTTAGTTCGCGCTAACACAAATAACGAAGGACAAGATTTTCGCCATCACTTTCGTAATGCTATTAAGAAATGTGTTGACCACCATCGTTATATTGTCGATTGTTTAAATAAAATGGAAGCATTCTACAGTCCAATATGGTTTTTCAAAACGGGTGAAGTAATATTCCTAATGTGTTTGGTGGCATTTGTGTCAGTGAAAGTAAGTGTGAAAATGAATGATTTGCAATTTAGAAAAATGAGTTTTATTTTTTCTTTTTTTTTTAGTCCACTACTGCTAATTCGTCGTTTATGAAAGCTGTATCGTTGGGTCAATATTTAGTGTTGGTCGCCTGGGAATTATTGATTATTTGTTATTTCGGTGAAATGATTTATATTAATAGTCAACGCTGTGGCGAAGCTCTATTGCGAAGTCCCTGGTATATTCATATGCGTGAAATGAAATATGATTTTCTATTATTTCTACTCAATTCGAAAAGACCATTTAAATTGACAGCTGGCAAAATTTATATCCTAAATGTTGAACGTTTTAAAGGTGTAAGTATGAAGGAATGAATTTATAGGAGATCAACTTAAAAAACGAGTATTATTTGCAGGTTATAACAACAGCGTTTTCATTTTTAACCTTATTACAGAAGATGGATCAACGCGATGAATGAGCATCATTTGCGCCAAATGTTTTTATTAAAAGTGAAAGTTTTGATTAAATAAATATTTGAAACAAATCAGCACTTTCTTAAATTTCAATTGTTTTTTTTCCAACAAATCTTGCTATAAATCAACTAGAAAGTTATAAAGAAGTTTTGGCGTAGGGTATAGTGATGCAGGGTATAAACACAACAATTTGTTGTCATTTAGAGGAGATTTATTAATGTGCTCCGCTACCCTAAAAATAAAATACATAAATAAATATAGTCTAGTCTATAGTAGTCTATAGTCTAGTCTATAGTCTAGTCTATAGTCTAGTCTATAGTCTAGTCTATAGTCTAGTCTATAGTCTAGTCTATAGTCTAGTCTATAGTCTAGTCTAGTCTAGTCTAGTCTAGTCTAGTCTAGTCTAGTCTAGTCTATAGTCTAGTCTAGTCTAGTCTAGTCTAGTCTAGTCTAGTCTAGTCTAGTCTAGTCTAGTCTAGTCTATAGTCTAGTCTATAGTCTAGTCTAGTCTAGTCTAGTCTATAGTCTAGTCTATAGTCTAGTCTATAGTCTAGTCTATAGTCTAGTCTATAGTCTAGTCTATAGTCTAGTCTATAGTCTAGTCTATAGTCTAGTCTATAGTCTAGTCTATAGTCTAGTCTATAGTCTAGTCTATAGTCTAGTCTATAGTCTAGTCTATAGTCTAGTCTATAGTCTAGTCTATAGTCTAGTCTATAGTCTAGTCTATAGTCTAGTCTATAGTCTAGTCTATAGTCTAGTCTATAGTCTAGTCTATAGTCTAGTCTATAGTCTAGTCTATAGTCTAGTCTATAGTCTAGTCTATAGTCTAGTCTAGTCTATAGTCTAGTCTATAGTCTAGTCTATAGTCTAGTCTAGTCTATAGTCTAGTCTAGTCTAGTCTAGTCTATAGTCTAGTCTAGTCTATAGTCTAGTCTATAGTCTAGTCTATAGTCTAGTCTAGTCTAGTCTATAGTCTAGTCTAGTCTAGTCTAGTCTAGTCTAGTCTAGTCTAGTCTATAGTCTAGTCTAGTCTAGTCTATAGTCTAGTCTAGTCTATAGTCTAGTCTAGTCTATAGTCTAGTCTATAGTCTAGTCTATAGTCTAGTCTATAGTCTAGTCTATAGTCTAGTCTATAGTCTAGTCTATAGTCTAGTCTATAGTCTAGACTATAGTCTAGTCTATAGTCTAGTCTATAGTCTAGACTATAGTCTAGTCTATAGTCTAGTCTATAGTCTAGTCTATAGTCTAGTCTATAGTCTAGTCTATAGTCTAGTCTATAGTCTAGTCTATAGTCTAGTCTATAGTCTAGTCTATAGTCTAGTCTATAGTCTAGTCTAGTCTATGTCTAGTCTATAGTCTAGTCTATAGTCTAGTCTATAGTCTAGTCTATAGTCTAGTCTATAGTCTAGTCTATAGTCTAGTCTATAGTCTCGTCTATAGTCTAGTCTATAGTCTAGTCTATAGTCTAGTCTATAGTCTAGTCTATAGTCTGTCTATAGTTCTAGTCTAGCTAGTCTATAGTCTAGTCTATAGTCTAGTCTATAGTCTAGTCTATAGTCTAGTCTATAGTCTAGTCTATAGTCTAGTCTATAGTCTAGTCTATAGTCTAGTCTATAGTCTAGTCTATAGTCTAGTCTAGTTAGTCTATAGTCTATTATGTCAGTCTATAGTCTAGTCTATAGTCTAGTCTATAGTCTAGTCTATAGTCTAGTCTATAGTCTTAGTCTATGTTAGTCTATAGTCTAGTCTATAGTCTAGTCTATAGTCTAGTCTATAGGTCTAGTCTATAGTCTAGTCTATAGTCTAGTCTATAGTCTAGTCTATAGTCTAGTCTATAGTCTAGTCTATAGTCTAGTCTATAGTCTAGTCTATAGTCTAGTCTATAGTCTAGTCTATAGTCTAGTCTATAGTCTAGTCTATAGTCTAGTCTATAGTCTAGTCTATAGTCTAGTCTATAGTCTAGTCTATAGTCTAGTCTATAGTCTAGTCTATAGTCTAGTCTATAGTCTAGTCTATAGTCTAGTCTATAGTCTAGTCTATAGTCTAGTCTATAGTCTAGTCTATAGTCTAGTCTATAGTCTAGTCTATAGTCTAGTCTAGTCTAGTCTATAGTCTAGTCTATAGTCTAGTCTATAGTCTAGTCTATAGTCTAGTCTATAGTCTAGTCTATAGTCTAGTCTATAGTCTAGTCTATAGTCTAGTCTATAGTCTAGTCTATAGTCTAGTCTATAGTCTAGTCTATAGGTCTAGTCTATAGTCTAGTCTATAGTCTAGTCTATAGTCTAGTCTATAGTCTAGTCTATAGTCTAGTCTATAGTCTAGTCTATAGTCTAGTCTATAGTCTAGTCTATAGTCTAGTCTATAGTCTAGTCTATAGTCCTAGTCTATAGTCTAGTCTATAGTCTAGTCTATAGTCTAGTCTATAGTCTAGTCTATAGTCTAGTCTATAGTCTAGTCTATAGTCTAGTCTATAGTCTAGTCTATAGTCTAGTCTATAGTCTAGTCTATAGTCTAGTCTATAGTCTAGTCTATAGTCTAGTCTATAGTCTAGTCTATAGTCTAGTCTATAGTCTAGTCTATAGTCTAGTCTATAGTCTAGTCTATAGTCTAGTCTATAGTCTAGTCTATAGTCTAGTCTATAGTCTAGTCTATAGTCTAGTCTATAGTCTAGTCTATAGTCTAGTCTATAGTCTAGTCTATAGTCTAGTCTATAGTCTAGTCTATAGTCTAGTCTATAGTCTAGTCTATAGTCTAGTCTATAGTCTAGTCTATAGTCTAGTCTATAGTCTAGTCTATAGTCTAGTCTATAGTCTAGTCTATAGTCTAGTCTATAGTCTAGTCTATAGTCTAGTCTATAGTCTAGTCTATAGTCTAGTCTATAGTCTAGTCTATAGTCTAGTCTATAGTCTAGTCTATAGTCTAGTCTATAGTCTAGTCTATAGTCTATAGTCTAGTCTATAGTCTAGTCTATAGTCTAGTCTATAGTCTATTCTATAGTCTAGTCTATAGTCTAGTCTATAGTCTAGTCTATAGTCTAGTCTATAGTCTAGTCTATAGTCTAGTCTATAGTCTAGTCTATAGTCTAGTCTATAGTCTAATCTATAGTCTAGTCTATAGTCTAGTCTATAGTATAATCTATAGTCTAGTCTATAGATACTAAAACATTTAACACAATTATGAGTCCAAAAACCGTATTCAGGAGTACGGTTGAATGTGCGCTAGGTGAAATAATGGGTTGACTTCAACTAGGCGTCCTTAGTAAAGAGAAGAGTAAATGCCAAATTTCATCAAATTATCTTAACTTTACTTTGATAACAAGATTTCCAAGAGGACACAAACGGGCGGACAATGCTTAATCAACTTAGTAAAATGACTCCAAGCCGGTTGATATACTTTTAGATGTGCAAATGACCTAAATTTTTGAGCGTTACAAACATCAGCACAGACCCATTATATCTTTTCCACTTAAGTGGCTTAGGGTATTAAAATCGTGAAAATCTAACAACTATTTATTCTTGCTTTTATCGTTCAAGATTGGGCAAATGTTTCACTGTGCACTAGGAACTTTTGAAGTAGACATTTATAACTTTATGGATAAAACTGTAATTTTTTCCTAACCTATAATCATAAACATGATTTAGTGCAAAGCACAGGTGTAATAAGCATGTGTAATTGTTTAAAAATAAAGTGTTGTTTTTAAAATATAAATAGAAAAATATTTGCTACTTAATGAAATAATTTGCACATGATTCTCGCCAGTATATCCCCACAATAGGAAATAACCAGACATTGAGGATAATGAGTGCAGTTTTTAAAAGATACTATAAACAGAGAAAATTTAAAAATAAAATTTCAGTATTGAATATTCAAAGTAATAAAAATCGTAATAAAACTATAGTAGTTGTAATGGAGGATTGGAAAAAGCCCATTAAACGTAGAGATCTTTTCACATTTGTACGTTTTATAATGTATTACGCTTACATGTATTCCTTTCATTTGGAACGACGATTGCCTGAGGGACTGCGTTATTTGGGTATATTAGTGGAATTATTTTTGGAAATATTTCTCTATTTTGTTACCTTCCACATTGCAATTATGTACATTTGTACAATTTATTTGAATTTTCACAAAGGAGATTTAGAATTATTTGTTAATTGTTTAATGCAAACAATTATTTATTTATGGACGATTATTGTGAAAATATACTTTCGTCGCATGCAACCAAAAAGACTGGAGGATTTATTTAATTTTATCAATTTAAAATACAAAACACGTTCGGCCATTGGTAAGTACATACAATACATATTTGAACACTAATTAATAGAAATATCAACCGAAATGTTTAAATGAGATTCGGGATATTTTCTTTACAGGTTTTACTTACGTCACTATGGACAAAATTTTTATCAAATCGAATAAGTGGACTGAAGTATATTCCTATTTTTGTTTCCTGGGCACCATATTTTGGTCGATTTTACCCATTACTTTTGGCGATCGAAGTCTACCCTTAGCCTGTTGGTATCCCTTTGATTATAAGGTATATTTTTAATTAAAAATATTTGTATAACATATATTAATTCTATGTATCTATTCTCATTAGCAACCAATCATTTATGAAATCATATATTTTCTTCAATTTATTGGCCAAACACAAGTATCCGCTGCATTTTCTGCCTCAAGTGGTTTTTATATGACGTTATGTATTCTAATAACTGGACAATATGATATTTTATTCTGTAGTCTAAAGAATGTCTTAGCTACTGTTGCTATAAATAGAGGAAAGAAAATTGAATTGAGGTAAGACGACTAAAACTATACAATTCTTAGGTCTACGATTTCAAAAGTAATTGATTATGCTGTCGAATATGTGTGGACCCAGACTTATATGAGATATCGATTTCCTACTACTGGTCTGTGGGGAATCGTAATAACTGGCAACCACTCAAATTATTTACAACCTATCTTTTCAGGTTATCTAACATTATAGTGTAACCCAAATGATCATTTGTTTATAGGGCCAATCGAGTCAAGGTCGTATTCTGTAAAAATAGGATTTTGAGGTGAGAGCTTTGAGGGATGCAATATTGCAGATATTAATGGTCTCAAGATGTAGCACAGGTTTTAAAGGCAGTCAGTGTGAAGATGACTCACTAGGGTCCAGGATAGGTACCGTTGTGATACCCGAATGGATTAAAATTTCAAATATGTGTCAAGTCAATGACCTGTAATCTGTAGCCTTAATCGCTCACGATATCTCAGCCTGGAGGTCGTTGCATTAATTATGCAGCTTAAACATATTTATTTTTTAAAATTAGTAACATACATCTCCCTTAGATTTAGACCCATCAGTGTAAACTACAATAAAGTTATACTCAACAGAAAATGACCCATTCATAGTATCTAAATAGATAGATACCATGCTTAGAGGAACCAACTATATTTAGCCTAACTACCGAGTTAAGTTCTACTTGTTTAACTATATGGAGTACTTCGTGACGCTTCTGTTATCATAAGCTGTTATCATAAGAAGTCCCCATAGTTTGGTCAATAATACTGCAGAAAGAGGATTTGTCAAGTTTCTTCCACCACGTATGGAGGATACGTTAGAATGGGATTAGTTAACATGTCAAAAAGCCATTTCGCAGAATTTGGACAAATACCCTAAGTCCTACCTATGGCCTTTCAACACGAATATATGTATGGCAATAGCAGTTTTTGTTTCTCTTACTTGAACATTTAGATTCCATAACAGTTTTGAATCCAGTTCTAAGTTCCACTAGAAACCTCTAGAAACGACAAAATGGCTCCTATATCTAAGAAGGATACTAATGCAAATTCTTTAAGCTCAAGGGATTTTTCAATGAAACCTATAAGCAAATTAAACTCAGTCTTTACCGATTTACCTTTCATATAGGCATGTTGAAAGTAGAATAGGATCAAAGGACAATCTTATATGTAGATCATTCTATAGTTTTTAAGAGGAAATATGACAGACTAAACTATACGAAATCTTTCGGTCTAGTATGCTAAGCCTTTCCCCCTTTGGCGTTGAAGACCACTGTGCACTTTGTGCATGATTCAGGGATATATGACCACTGAAAGCAGCTGTTATAATATCCGAATTATACAGAGCATGATAATGTCCGCCTTGTGCTGAAGATCTGCTGAAATAATGCCATCAGGACCCATTGATTTGAAAGGTCCAGTGATTTGAAAGGTCCAGTGATATAGGCCCTATTTCAGTTTATCCTGATTTGAGATTGAGATTCGCAGCATATTCTCCCGAGAGAGATATGCTGCCAGAAAAGTGTGTGTCGAGGAAAACCTCAAGCGTCTCATCTTCGCTCATAGTTGAATTGCTACAGTCCTTTTGGATATAGTTTGGGACAATTATCGAAGACGACAAGAGGCACCTTCTATGCCACTACAGAAGGACCTCCACAATATACGTTTTGTATTTCTTATTAGATTTATAAATCTGTTCGCAGAGACCTCATAAGCGTACCAGTTGCCAAGTCTTTTGCCCTCATTAAAAAGTCAACGACATGTTCGCAATTTTCGAAGTCCACCATGGCGACATTAGGTCCGCACCATATATATTTATGATTTTAAATTTATATTATATTTTTATTTACTATAGAAAGCTGTACCAACTACAGAAATCGGAAATCGCTGAATACTATTGCTCCGAGGAAATAACTTGCGATATCGATACTCTAGTCCGCACAACAAAAAATGAAAAACGAGAAGATTTCGGCTACCATTTTAATAATGCATTGAAAAAATGTATCGATCATCATCGTTATATTATAGAATGTTTACATAAAATGGAAGATTTCTATTGTCCAATATGGTTCTTCAAAACAGGAGAAATTATATCTGTATTATGTTTGGTGGCATTTGTATCGGTTAAGGTAAGTTATACTGAAGCGATAATTAGAGTTGGAAACTTCTCACGAATATTTTTCTTCCATCAAGTCTACCAGTGCTAACTCAATTATGAAGATTGTATCACTAGCCCAATATTTATTCTTAGTCATCTGGGAACTATTAATTATATGCTATTTTGGTGAACTTATCTATATTAATAGTCAACGTTGTGGCGAGGCTATAATGAGAAGTCCATGGTACATTTATATGTGTGATATAAAATTTGATTATATTCTCCTGCTGTTGAATTCGAAAAGACCCTTTCAGTTGACTGCAGGAAAAATTATAACCTTAAATATTGAATGTTTCAAAAGTGTAAGTAATAGTGAATAATGAAATTAAACGTTCAAGTTTCTTTCCTTTTCAGATATTGTCCACAGCGTTCTCATTCTTGACCTTGCTGCAGAATTTGGATGAACGTGATAAATAAAAGTACAGCACCCACGAATGTGCCACGTAACTAGTTTAGTTCTCCTTACTTTCAATAATTGTTTATAAAAAAAAATCAAATTGCTAAAATGTTTACACAATATAATTGTGGTGTTACAACTAATAATCATTTAAACAGATATAATTTAAATCCTAAATGTCCACATATTTAACATTTCAATGAAAATAAATTCAATAGTTTCAGTTGGACTTTTCATTTAAAATGCTAACCATAGAGCGAAATGTAGTTTTAATTTTGCATTTTTAATAAAGAACTTTTTGCAAAAGGTTACACATTCTCTATATCAAATAAAAACAAATAGAATTTGAATACAAAACTTTAGTATTAATCTAGAGAGAGTCAGCAGGTGCTACGCAGTATGTTTCAACGCCAAGATTTGTTTAAATATATACGCCGCAATATGTATTGTGCTCAAATGTATCGCATACATTTGGAACGCCATTTGCCGCACTCTCTTTCGTATCTGGGCACCATCTTGGAATTACTATTCGAAATATTTCTCTATTTTGTCGGCATTCACATTGCGGTCTTGTATATTTGCACAATTTTTCTGAATTATCACACGGGTGACTTGGAATTATTGGTCAATTGTTTAATGCAAACAGTTATTTATTTATGGACCATTGTCATGAAATTATACTTTCGTCGCATGCGACCGAAAAAGTTGAAGGATTTAATGGATTTTATAAATTTTAAGTGCAAACAACGTTCAGCCATTGGTAAGTTAAGTACTCTTGTTCTCAGTCATTAACGGAAATTAGTATCATTTACTTAATAATATTTTTTCCTGTTACTGTGTTTGTTCGATGTTATAAAAAGGCTTCACTTACGTCACCATGGACGATACTTTAGCCATGTCAAACAAGTGGATTAAACTATATCTGTACTCTTGTTATTTGTGCGCCATATGCTGGTTAATTTTACCCATCACATACGGAGATCGTAGTCTGCCTTTAACCTGTTGGTATCCATTCGATTATCAGGTAATTTGCATTATGCATAAATGGATTAAGAACTATCCAAGTAGAATTTTAATCGTATTCTCCATTCGTTTGATTATGTTTGATCGTCGATTAAAAGTAAATCTTAGTAGATTTTTCCTAAAGTAATATTAAATAAGAGATGACTGGGCTACAAATACTGACCTTCAAAAAGACGCGATATCAATCTATACTGACGGTTCAAAAATTGTTGCGTGTGTAGGCTCGGGAGAGATGACCATAGTCTCCATCAGTTTGCCTATTGTCTGCCTTGCCAAAATTTGCGACTACGAGAAACATTCGAGAACACAATCTCGAAAAGCCGACCATTATCATCTAATCTGACATTCTTGCATATCTCAAGGCTCGCAATTCGAACGTACTAAGGTCGAAATGTATTTTCAATTAAATTCACACCCTTTCTCAACATAGACGACACTCTATCGAATTAATTCGAGTTGAACACCACAATTACAATCGGAGAAATTAAATTTCTAACGAAACAGTTGTTGGACTTATGGTGAGGTATCGAACAAGATCGATATTGGAGTTAACTGTGCTTCTTTATATTGTAAAAGTTCGTTTGAAAAACTATAGATAATTCTTTATGGAAGTACTATCGTCCGATGTTCAGAAACTCAGTTTTCACTGTTCCTTTATAATGCCTAATCAGTCTTCGTGAAGGATTTTGTATAACATCGCTCATATAACATTGGATCAAATTTTGTCGGGCTGTGTTATTGAGGTCAGAATTACTCTAATAGTGGAACTAAGACCCCAAGCTAATATCGAATACCCTGTTTAATGTAAAACTTTTCCAAGAAAGGGGAATGGTCAGGAACTATAAGAGAGTGAAACAATAATTCCCAACCACTATTTTATAAATAGTTTAACACACCTTGATAAAAATATTATGACTTCTCAGATCACATATTTATAATGAATCAAATATGTTCGATATATGTCTCCTGTGCCTGTCTGACCCGATTCAGCTGATCATAATAGATGAAGAGCTTCTGGTACCATCAAACAGAGTGAACTACCTTGGAGCTATAAAATTTCCGCTTGTTGACTAGTTTCATATACGATTTCTTGCACTTCGGGTTGCCCTAATTGATCGACAGTACTGATTGAATGTAAAAATTACTTCTTTCAATGTCATGGCGACATTTCGGACGTCTTTTCACTCAGCTTTGTAACATTTAAAATTACAGTTCCCAATATTTTTACTATGTTGGTCCTTATAGTCCGTGTCATAATCGATGAAAATTATCAGGATAAGCTTCTTAAGAAAAGAAAGAAATATCAATTGTTTCTCATTATATTACTTCTGGAACTATACCTGCGCAATTAATGTTTGTGTTTGTGTCTTTCTACCAGCAACCAATCATTTATGAAACCATGTATTTTCTTCAATCTGTTGGTCAAATACAAGTTGCAGCTGCTTTTTCTGCCTCAAGTAGTTTTCATATGGCCTTATGTATTCTAATATCGGGACAATATGATATTTTATTTTGTAGTCTCAAGAATATTTTAGCAACTATTGCTATAAAAAGAAATCCGACACAAATGGATTTAAGGTAAGACTGGAATCAACACCTAAACTATTATTAACGAATTTATTTGAATAGAATGGCCTATAAACTTCCTGAATTTGAAGTACAGGAAATAAATGAATATTATTGTTCCAAGGAAATAACAAATGATGTTAACACTTTGGTTACATCGGCCACATATAGAGGAGAACCTCGAGATTTTCACTATCATTTTCGTAATGCATTTAAAAATTGCGTTGATCATCATCGTTATATATTGGAATGTTTAAAGAAAATGGATGATTTCTACAGTCCCATATGGTTTTTCAAAACTGGAGAGGTAATATTTTTAATGTGTTTGGTGGCATTTGTGGCGGTTAAGGTAAGTGATCTTGGATTTCTCTAAAACTCTGCAACATCTCATACTATTTCCTTTCTTATACTAGACTATTAATGCTGATACATCTTTTATGAAAATATTATCATTAGCTAATTATTTACTTTTGGTGGCTGTGGAAATGTTGGTGATTTGCTATTTCGGTGAAGTTATCACTATTAATAGTCAACGTTGTGGTGAGGCAGTTATGAGAAGTTCTTGGTATATTCATATGCGTGAAATAAAAACTGATTTTCTTATATTTCTGCTAAATACAAATAAACCATTTAAGTTGTCCGCTGGCAGAATTTACTTCTTAAATGTTGAATGTTTTAAAAGTGTAATTACAAATGACATTTAGAATAGTGTTATGATTATTAACATTAAATTTTATTACAGATTATGACGACGGCCTTCTCATTTTTTACTTTTTTGCAAACAATAGATGAACGTAATAAATAAGAAGTCAAAAAATAACAAATATGATTTTCTGTGTATTATTTATATAATCAAGGTAAGGAAAAGCATGTTACAGAAAAAGGTTTAACATAAGTAGTTCTAGAATGAGTGAAAGCTGAGAAACTTCTTTAATGACTATAACTTCTATAGCTAGTAATTGTCTGACTTTAATTGCATCCTAGTAGGAATTAGTGGAAAATCATGGTGTTGGGTATCATTCAGCAATGGGGACTTCACGGTAGCTGCATAGTTGACCACATACCCATAAAAACATGTAACTTGTAAAAACAAGGCATTAAATTTGTGCGGAATTGCGCGTGACAGTAGCACAGAAAAGGTCCCTGGAGTGCTTTACTTGAGCGGCTATATTGACGCCTTATTTTCTAACCGCAGGGTGAACTAAAGTCTACTTCTAACTGCCCTTTTGAGCCTTGCACCCGGTGGACAATGACAAAATTTTGCTCTTTGCAGTTCCGCTGTGGAATATTGGGCAATTTTTGGACCATATCTTACTTACTAGAGGCGTATTTGGTAGATCCGAATTACGATCTTTATTATTAAGCCACGACATTGCTTCCATACACACATAGAGGAACAGTGTTGGTCAGGTATGAACAGTATAAACTTCGAAACATGCCCCGACAAAAAAGGGAACTTTAAAGATGACGCATTCATTAGGGTGTTGGGTGATGTATGATAGACATCACATATGTCATAATTTCTTCTCGCCTTATCAAAGTATGCATATGGGATAACAGCCTTTGAAGGTTTAGTGTTTTTGATTACCTTCGTTATGGCAAAAATTACGCGTCACTAGGGCATTTAGTTTGCAGACAATTCTTTGTTTCGTCTTATCACTGGGTGCTCGATAAAGATTTGAGTACACTGTTTATGATGTTCAATGGAGTATTAGTGGATTTCTAATAGTATTAGTATTGGAAATCTGACCGTAGACCACAAATTACAAACTTCGGCGCTAAATGGTCCATATATCACTTCCATTTTTACAAATTTATCAATGGTTTCGCGGCTTGACCAAGCAAATCATGGATTGCTATGGTAGGTTCTGCGGATACTATATCATTCATGAAATAGTTCGGATCTTTCTGGTCCTGTGGACGTATGCAGAATGTTTGGAATGAGCAAATCCTGTTGTTATTGTAACAGCTAAAATTATACAATAATATAGTTGGGGGTTCTACATCAATGTCCAGGCCTAAAAATGGGGCTACTGGATGCGTCCATAAATCCATTGGACAGAATGAAGCAGGGTTGGCTGAGCAATTGAATATGTGGTGGGTGTCGTGAGGACCATGACCACATGCAGGACATTCGTTGTGCCAAGGTTTTCTTCCGTGTCTGCTGTGGGCGGTGGGCGACCTCCAAGTACGATATTTATGCGGTATCCTGCGACCGCGAAACTTACGGCGTCTCTATGAATGTTATTTAAAGCTGCCGTATACGAGGACAGCTCTAATGGATGACTGATCGACTCATCCGATGGCATCCTAGGAGGAACTGTTTAGTCAGCATGACATTGTGTTCCTTGACTGGGAGGAACTTCGTGTTCTCGTACAGCTGATGTTCCGAGGTAATTTGCAGGCAACCCTTTACAGTCCTTAGGGCGGAATTTTGGCTTTGAATGTTTCTCCACTGGGTATCACTGGTCGAAGGTGATCACACTTCCTTTAGAAACGGTTGAGTTTGCAGCTCAGTGTTCCATGTGAGTTTTGCAGCCAGTGTTCCATGAATATGATATGGGGATATAGTCAGATTCGTTTGAAACTAAGACTTATCAAAGTGATCAGAACTGCGCTATGATATCAGGTGAGATGATTTACATCCCCCGTAATGAAAAATATAGACTCGTCAATTTGGAACGACTGTATAGCACCTCTAAGAACTCATATTTTTTTGTATACACGGTTTTATAGCCTCAAAGACGAAAATAGTGTAGTTTCACTCCAAGCATATGATAATAGCGAGATGATATGATACGAGTCAGCCTACGTCATATCAAAATGTAAAATTCCCCAGAACTGCGCTGTGTGCTAGTGAACATTATCCATTATGTTCAATGTGGAGTTCCTACGGCACTCCAGCACCTCTTTAATATAAGAGTGCCAAAGCTCATGACGTTCGTTATTTTAAGATGATCTAATCCGATTGAGACTACGTCACGCTGTGAACTGGTGAGCAATCATTCTTTATTCTCATAGTGCGGAATGTAGACTCGTCAATTTGCTACAACTGTAGAGCACCCTTTTGTTCTTCCCCAATGTTAGAGTGTCAGAATTCATGGTGTTCTTCTCGCTCGGTTTTTATAGCCTCAAAGACCAAAATGTTTTAGTGTTACTCCAAGAATAAGTTGATAATTCATCAGATTTGCGCTGAGAGTTGTTAAGCAATCATTCATTATCCTCATAGTGCTTCGGCAGTGCACCACCACTTCAATGTTAGAGTACCACAGCTTATAATTATCTTCCTCGATTTTTATAGCCTCAATAAGCTTTTGAGTTTAACTTTCTCTAGCTAGCTTTATCAGGTCTTTTGCCTCTGCATACCTCAGCTACTCCATACTGAACAATAATAACCAAAAATAACCGATATTTCATCAGTCTAGTTTAAGATTTTACTTTTTCGAAACCTCTTTTTTCTCTTATTCTATCTTCTAGTTAGAAATCTAGTTTAAATATCTTTGTAACATTGAAAATTCCCATGGAAAATTCATTAAATTATATAATATTATGTATTAAGTAAGGTGACAAAATTTTCTTGGACATTGTAATGTTTTAGACATTGAAAATGATTTTTCACTAGACTTAGCACTAAACTGCATACAAAAAAAATTTAATTCACTAATAAATAGCATCATTACACTAAAACATTTAAAGTAATTAACACAATGACGTCAAAACAACAAGAAAGAAAAAAACTCTAAATAATAGCACTTACAATTTAATGAAACCAGTGTGACATTACAAACCAAACATTTTAATTAACAATGAGCAAATTAATTTTGATTATTTTTTTATTTTATTTATTTTATTAGGTTTTTTTATTTGTTTATTTGTTTTTGATTTACACAAAAGTGCGCTTACTTAGCTTAATTTTAAATGCAAACAACATTCATTGCATTTGAGTTTGCAGCCTCACACACATGGTGTTAGTGTGTGTTTGCGTATAGAAATGAATGAATGTAGTCATTTGAAATTGAGCCAAAAGGGCGGCGGCACTTGTTTACAAACTAAATGTTTAAGTATAAATTTAATTTCTGTTTTTGTTTTATAATAATTTATTAATGCAAACGATTAGTTGGTATCAGATTTGTTGCTGTTGACGTTTAATGTTTTAAATAATTTAATTAATATATTGTATTTAAATTAATTGCTTTTTGGATTTTGTTTTTGTTTTGTTAAATTATTTTATTTATTTTGTTTAAATATGGCTGTGTACATGTTACGCATAAAGTATTTATATATTTTATTTTAAATTACGAGTAGATTTTTTTATATTTATTTTTAAACGTTTTCCATTTAGCCTTTTTTTGCATTAAAGGTTTAAATGTTTTGCTTTTGCTGTTAGTTCTGTTTAGTTTTAAATTTAAATAAAAATTTAAAAAAAATAAAAATGTTATGGGTGGCTTTGTTAAATTAATTTCAAACTAAACTTGTATTTACTTAAAATTAGTTAATATTTTGTTTTCTTAATTTTTTCAATTTTTTTTTTATTTATTTTCTTTTTCTAAATTTTAATTAAATATTAAACTAATTTCTATAAATAACAAAATTAATATTTATATTTTGATTTAAAGATAGAAAAAAATATACAGTAGTTTTCCGATTTAACGACCATTCAATTCTACGAACATCGCATTTAACGAACAAGCTAATTTTTCCTATTGACTACCTTAAATAACGAACAAAACTTGTTTTTTGTACTCTGTTTAACGAACTAATAAAAATATTATTTAAATGAAGATAAAATGACATTTATCAAAAATAACAAATAACCTAAGTTGTAGCGGTGCTTTTATAGCCAAAACTGTAACACATTCTGGGTTCTTATTAAATTTTAGTTCGATGTAGCTATGTCCGTCCGTCCTTCAGATAATGACTTTAACGCTCATTACTCGCTTAACAATACGAGTACGCCGATGAAATTCGATTCAAACATGTTCTATACTAACAGAAATCTCTAACAAATTTTATGGGAATCGGTCCATAATTGACCTTCAACGCTCATTACTCGCTTAAAAATACGAGTATAGCGATGAACTTCGAGAAATAACTTTAACGCTCATGACTGAATTAAAAATACAGCGATGAAATTCGACACAAATATGGTTTGAAGGTGGATATATAAGATTCGGAATTTTGTGTTTTGTGCTATTTTTATAAAAAAAAGAATTAATTTTTATAAAATACATTTAAAAAATATTTTATGCACCTATTTTTAATTATTTTCCTACCAAAAACCCACGTTTTAGTTAGTACTGCATATAACGAACTTTTCAATTTTACGAACAGGCCTGACAACATATGGGTTCGTTAAATCGGAAAACTACTGTATGTATAAAAAAAGACAAAATATATAATAGAAAATATATTTAATTAAAAAAATAATAATAATGTACAAAAAGTATTTCATCAGTTGAATTTGTTTCGCTGTTCTAATTTTGTATAATTGCTATAAATATAAATGTATATAATTTAATAAATTTTCTTTTTTTATATAAAAAGAAAAAAACATGACTTTATTTTCAGGGTGAATGAAACAATAAATGAAAAACAAAATTATTTCAAAATTTTCATATTTTTTGCGTTTTCATTTTGTTTCGGTTTCAAAATTTCATTAATTTAACAACAAATTTGCAACGAAATGTAAAATAATTAAAAACAACAACAATATCATTGATATTTTTACAATAAGTTTACAATAGTTTCTAAAATTAAACTTCTTACCATACCAAGCAGCAGCAGTAGTAGTAGTAGTAGCAGCAGCAACAGCAGCATTAGTTTTGGTAACAACAAATGCTTTTTCTTTATACGAATTTTGTTCTAAGTGACAGCGTTTTTGTTCACAATTGTCAACATTATTTTTGTGTTGACAATTATTTAAATTTAGTTTTAAGTAATTACAATTAATATTATTATTATTAATATTTTTATAAGTAGTACTTAAATTTGTTAAAATACTGCATTTGTCATAGCAGTTTATTCTGTTCTTGTTGCTTATATGGTTGCAGTAGTAATTTTTCTGTTTAATTTCGTTGCCAGAACCAAAGTAGTTGTTGTTGTAGTAGTTGTTGTATTTGTGGTTACATTGGTATTTATTTGAGGTTGACATTGGCTAGCTTGGAATGGCAATACTCGTGCTATTGTCATGGTTGTAATGCTCTGTGTTTACAATAACTTGTACAACATAACCATTTTGTATATTACACTCTTCAATGGGTACTTTATCGCCCAACAGTTTACCGCTATAAAACCATCTCTGACAGCAGGCATCAACACCTTCCATAGCCTTTCAAAATAAAATTGAATTATTTATTTACTTTATATCAATCATGGAAAATTCAGTTTTTAGTACTTTTTTCAGTACCTTTTGATATAGTCTAGTCTATAGTCTAGTCTATAGTCTAGTCTATAGTCTAGTCTATAGTCTAGTCTATAGTCTAGTCTATAGTCTAGTCTATAGTCTAGTCTATAGTCTAGTCTATAGTCTAGTCTATAGTCTAGTCTATAGTCTAGTCTATAGTCTAGTCTATAGTCTAGTCTATAGTCTAGTCTATAGTCTAGTCTATAGTCTAGTCTATAGTCTAGTCTATAGTCTAGTCTATAGTCTAGTCTATAGTCTAGTCTATAGTCTAGTCTATAGTCTAGTCTATAGTCTAGTCTATAGTCTAGTCTATAGTCTAGTCTATAGTCTAGTCTATAGTCTAGTCTATAGTCTAGTCTATAGTCTAGTCTATAGTCTAGTCTATAGTCTAGTCTATAGTCTAGTCTATAGTCTAGTCTATAGTCTAGTCTATAGTCTAGTCTATAGTCTAGTCTATAGTCTAGTCTATAGTCTAGTCTATAGTCTAGTCTATAGTCTAGTCTATAGTCTAGTCTATAGTCTAGTCTATAGTCTAGTCTATAGTCTAGTCTATAGTCTAGTCTATAGTCTAGTCTATAGTCTAGTCTATAGTCTAGTCTATAGTCTAGTCTATAGTCTAGTCTATAGTCTAGTCTATAGTCTAGTCTATAGTCTAGTCTATAGTCTAGTCTATAGTCTAGTCTATAGTCTAGTCTATAGTCTAGTCTATAGTCTAGTCTTTAGTCTAGTCTATAGTCTAGTCTATAGTCTAGTCTATAGTCTAGTCTATAGTCTAGTCTATAGTCTAGTCTATAGTCTAGTCTATAGTCTAGTCTATAGTCTAGTCTATAGTCTAGTCTATAGTCTAGTCTATAGTATAGTCTATAGTCTAGTCTATAGTATAGTCTATAGTCTAGTCTATAGTCTAGTCTATAGTCTAGTCTATAGTCTAGTCTATAGTCTAGTCTATAGTCTAGTCTATAGTCTAGTCTATAGTCTAGTCTATAGTCTAGTCTATAGTCTAGTCTATAGTCTAGTCTATAGTCTAGTCTATAGTCTAGTCTATAGTCTAGTCTATAGTCTAGTCTATAGTCTAGTCTATAGTCTAGTCTATAGTCTAGTCTATAGTCTAGTCTATAGTCTAGTCTATAGTCTAGTCTATAGTCTAGTCTATAGTCTAGTCTATAGTCTAGTCTATAGTCTAGTCTATAGTCTAGTCTATAGTCTAGTCTATAGTCTAGTCTATAGTCTAGTCTATAGTGTAGTCTATAGTCTAGTCTATAGTGTAGTCTATAGTCTAGTCTATAGCCTAGTCTATAGTCTGGTCTATAGTCTAGTCTATAGTCTAGTCTATAGTCTAGTCTATAGTCTAGTCTATAGTCTAGTCTATAGTCTATAGTCTATAGTCTAGTCTATAGTCTAGTCTATAGTCTAGTCTATAGTCTAGTCTATAGTCTAGTCTATAGTCTAGTCTATAGTCTAGTCTATAGTCTAGTCTATAGTCTAGTCTATAGTCTAGTCTATAGTCTAGTCTATAGTCTAGTCTATAGTCTAGTCTATAGTCTAGTCTATAGTCTAGTCTATAGTCTAGTCTATAGTCTAGTCTATAGTCTAGTCTATAGTCTAGTCTATAGTCTAGTCTATAGTCTAGTCTATAGTCTAGTCTATAGTCTAGTCTATAGTCTAGTCTATAGTCTAGTCTATAGTCTAGTCTATAGTCTAGTCTATAGTCTAGTCTATAGTCTAGTCTATAGTCTAGTCTATAGTCTAGTCTATAGTCTAGTCTATAGTCTAGTCTATAGTCTAGTCTATAGTCTAGTCTATAGTCTAGTCTATAGTCTAGTCCACAGATTAGTCTAGTCCACAGATTAGTCTAGTTCACAGATTAGTCTAGTTCATAGATTAGTCTAGTCCACTGATTAGTCTAGTCCACAGATTAGTCTAGTCCACAGATTAGTCTAGTCCACAGATTAGTCTAGTCCACAGATTAGTCTAGTCCACAGATTAGTCTATAGTTTAGTCTATAGCCTATGCTATAGTCTATTCAAAAATTTAATTTTCCATCATAAAGAAATATAGATATTTTTTTTAAAATCACCTGTAATTTCTTTTTACATTGTCCCACTGTATCTTTGGAATATACCGGTAATTTGACATCTGTCATTATGGATGATATTCTTAATTTTAAGAATATTTCTGTACCTCCATCAACAGGTTCTGAAAATTCGGCAGGTGAATCACGACCATTTTCTTCTTTTACAATATTTATGGGATATGATAGACAATAGATGGGTACTTTGTATTGTGTACCCAATTCATCATAACATTCTGTTAGGTAACTGCAAAGAAAGACAAGTCACAAGTTATTTACAGTTTAAAATTTAGGACATTGTTTACTAAGCTTATTTCAGACAGTACTTTTTTAAATAAATATGCACATTTGTTGAATTAATTCCTTTTAAATGCTCCCGGTTTAATTATATATGTAGGTTTCGCAACCAGTTCCCCAACGCATGACTATAACCTATAATCGTTCTAATATAAGACTAATGATATTAGTTTAAATTCTCATCTTCTGAACTACTTTTGCTTAAGCGTTATGGAGTCGATATTCATTCTAAGAAATGAATACTGAAAACAGTATAAACCAATGATTTTATTCGAATTTGTCAACCTCGAAACTAGCTTTAAAAATATGGTCAATAAACTATGGACTAGTTTATTGACCAGATTTTCGATAATTTTATTCACTTGTCTATTGACTGCTTTATTGACTAGTCTATGTACTATGGAATAGTCAATAGACTGGTCTATTGACTATGGCATAGTCTATGTTATGTTAATGAGGTATGGGATCTTGAACTGGTCCCATTGAGTTAGCCAAAAATGGATTCTACCACTACTCACCTCATTGCGAGGCACGAACAAAGAAAGAATGGCAAAAAATGTGATAAATAGTTTCATTATCGTACTCTTTGTGACAACTTCTAAATTAGTCGTTAAATTGAAGATTTAGTCTTCTTGATTGATTGATTGATTGATTGATTGATTGATTGATAGAAGGGGACACTCAGTACTGCGACCTGAGTTAAGATCTTTTGTGCAACAGTATGGATCACCATTGAATCTTAATGTTCTAGTCGGCGGGAATTTAAACCACATTTTTCCCTAATGTATCCCGAACTGATTTCATATAATAGTAAAGCATTAGGGCCGTCTGACGTCACAAATATCTTTAATTCTTTCAACTTCCTTCTTAGACATTTTCTAATAGAGATGATAATTGCGCGTAGAATTCCGCCGGGAAGATTAAGGGATAATTAACCATAGGGAAGGCTTTTTGGAAATATGGCCACAGATTTCCGTTTCAGTGTTGGCACTTATCTGTTTGGAAACATCCGTAAACCAGCCCATTGAAACCTCAAAGACTGTAGTGTTAGAACTGTTGATCCACATTCAGGATACCAGATATATTGATTAATCTTATATGTATTTAAGTTACTTTTGTGTCGCCCCAAGTCAGCAACGTTTGACTACTAACAAGAAAAAATTCAGCCTCGAAAACACAAGCATCGAGACCTTCGACCACTAATAGGAATACAGATTAACTTTGATGTCGAGCAAGTATGTAGTAGATATGAAATCTGCTCAATGAGTAGAAAGACGCCGGGATTTATCAGCTATGTACACTTTAGAAACCTGGAATCCAGAGCCGTTCATGTCCGAATGGTTCGTCAGTGTGGAAAGAGATTTAATAGCAAGTTCGCGTGTATTCAACATCGGATGTTGCTGTTGCAAAGCCTTATCCAGTTTACAGCTAAAATACACCGTTTAATTGAAACGTGGGCTGTATATATTGCTTCCCACACCTCTTAATAACTAGAAATCATCAGGAATGAGATTGGCAAAGCAGTACGAATAAAGTATGTAATGACATGCTCCGAACCGCTCCAATAATCATTCGAACGTATTATTTTTCAATATAAATGCAGTAGATGGATCTTTACAGTGCTTTCCATCAAACAAGCAGAAGAATGGTTTTGCGACTATGTAAAATAACAATTTCGCTGTCTTGGGACTAATGCCCCAATGTTTACTATTCGTGAAAAGAAAATCGATTTACTAACTTTCAACCTGTCCATTCCGATAAACTAGTTAAGTCTTGGGTTAAGCCCCAGCCCTTATAGATTAGTATATAATGTAATATATTGACTAGTTGCAAAGTAATTTAACAAAGTTTTGCTTAAATCTCTAATATATAAAATTAAACGTATGTCAATTTGTCCAACTAAAAACGTTTCGGAAAAAGTATGGGAAATTATCATATACAGATGACCAATTCTTTTAAAGAAATAAAATCATGAATTCGTCAACCAAACTCCTCAAAATTACAAAAACTTCCGAAAATTTACAGAAACATGAATCCGAAACCTTATGTTTTGAGATATATCTCAATAAATAATCAAATAATATTTTAGTTATAAAATTTTTAATGTTTTAGAACAAAATTAGGATTGGCATTTAAACAATTTTTGAAAAGTTTTTTAGTTTTTGCAGCCAAGACGAAAAAATGCACCACTCTTGCTGAAGAGTATGATAACAAATTTTTTATTGCTTATAAATTAAAAATAAAACAAGTAATTTTAAAAACAATATAAAAAGCTTTATCTGCTTTCATACATACTTATAATAAAATGTGACGTCATAAATGGGAAATTATGAAACATTATGTGTCCAAATAAAGCAAACTACCAAATATAGAGTAAAATATAATTGATAACAGCAATTACATATTAAATTTTCTTTAAAATATAATAAAATGATATAACACAAGGCGCTTTTGGCAAACAAAAATGTTATATTTTTTTAATTTTTTAATATGCTCAAATCGTAAAGTTTAAAAACTTAAGATAGTGAAATAATAATGTATTAAAAATTCTGATCATTTTATAATATGTATATCTGACCTTTCAAATCTAACTAACACGAATATTGTTTAAAGGGCGATAATTTATAAAATATCATAGTAGATTAAGGATAATATTCAATTTTTTTATACACTTTCAATAAAACGTGTATTCATCTATAATTTTACTTTACTTTAACTTATTGATTTATGCAAACTAATAAAATATGTATAAAAGTTATTCATACAGATATTTTACAACACACACTTTTTCATAACTAATTGTGTTTTAAGATAATTGAATATATAGCTGACAACTAACAGCCTATATTTTTGCATGAGTATAAATAATATAAATTGTGAAGAATTCACACCTGTTTATAATTTCATATAATAATAAATTCATATTAATGATACATTACATTTGTAGTCTAAGTATAATAGAACAAAAAAAGAAGAATTATACTATATCCTTTGATAAATAAACTATATATTGCAACTTATAATTGAAAATTTATATACACAAATGTATGGTTTTTAAGCATTTCTGAAAAGAAATCAAATCAACAAACTACTATAACTAAACAATCAATGATTCCAATTAGACGACAAGTTTTTATAATAGTATAATTATAATTTACAGTCGGACACAGAAATTTTATTTATAAGAATGAAAGTAAAATGACATTTAATAATAGTATTCATTTTTTTTCAATAAGCCATGCGTTTGACCAATATATTTGTAATCCCTGACTTGTTGTAATTGAACCACTAAACATATGTAAATGTAAACAAACATGTCTATGAATGAAAATATTGGTGTATGGTATAGATCGATTAACAAGGACAACAAAATAATGTGATTGCTAAAGGTAAATTTATCTACGTATATTAACAGTAGTGGGTAAAAAAAGTTCCAAAGAGGTTTAAGCATTTTCGCAGATATCGAAGAAAAGCTTTTGAGGTAATGTTTTGTACACTATCGATGCCCAACCTATAGTAATTAAGGTCTTCATTTATAGCTAGATATCGGTAGCTTATACGGACAAAGATCTGTCACATTAAAGAGCTTAAATTTTACTCTTCACTGATGCCTGATCTATATTATTGTATTCATTTACAATTTTGTATCTACACCAGATATCGTCAAATAGCTTTCATATGAAAGAGACGATTTTGAGTCTCAACCGATCTATATACATTAATGCCTTTATTTAGCACTGCACATCTATAGCAGATAACGGCAAAAGCGTCACGTACGAGTTAAGCCGTTTTTACTATCTGCCTATGCCTGATCCACTCCCATTAATGTCTGCATTTAGAACTAGGCATCTATAAAAGATATAGGCAAAGCTCTCTTATGAGAGGGAGTGTAGATTTTGAGTCTCAGCCGATGCCTAATATATAACCATTAAGGTCTTCAAAGTTCGTCATTTTGCATAAAGTTTTATGAGCATTTGTTCGACATCGAATGGGATGATTTCGTTATGAAAACTTCGGATGTGTCGGGGATCCTGCATCACAATCTGTTAGATGGGATAAAAAACCAAATTGATTTGCCTGATCAACAACACAGAGTGTCAGTACTACATATTTTGATAAAGTTTATCCAAATAGACATTAGGACTCTTGTCTTCTGCAGTTGGTTTTCTTCTGAGTCTGCTTCAAGTAAGGCCGTAGAATTGAATGCGTCTCTACGAATGTCAAAGCTGACGTATAAGAGGACTGATCTATTAGAACCTGCACATAACTACATAATTTATCCTCGTATAAACGACGGACCTTCCTGACTTGCCTCAGGGGAGTATCCTATTGAGAGATTTTATAGACGGGAGCAGGAACTGATTAGTCAACATGACACTTTGTGTTCCCAGACAGGGATGGTTTTCCGAGGCAATTTGTAAGCAGATCTATACAATGAATTTGACCACTGACTGATCGATCGTTTTTTATGCATCTTTCGGTTTTTTGATTTAATATTAACACTTATAAAAGGTTTATAGCAAACACAAGTATTTAAGAAACTGTTAAACCAATATAGAGATGTTTTAACCACTAGTTAAAACGATATCAACAATTTCTGCATACTCGCGATATATCCCCTAATGCTCCTTTTTCTAACAATAGTGTATAAAGTAAAAATCTTAAAGCAAAACTGACCATATAATTTAAAACAATATTATTGCATGTTTGTAAACAACAATTTATTGTACACATGCAGGAATTGTGAAATAACCCAAAGTACTAAAGGGACAACAAACAAATCCCCCAGGACATTATACACATACTGCTTCAACAAAGGCAAACAAATATAAAACAACAAATAAACAAAATCCAACGTCAAGCGACCAAATAAAATACATCAAAAACACACATACGAACAAAAAAAAACTTAAAAAATAAGCGACCATACGATTGTAACCACGAATAAGCAATTAAGTTTGTGTGTAAAAATAAAATTTTCAAGCAATTAGCAACAGTTACAAACACTCCCTCCCAAAACCAAAGCAAAATAAGCCAACAGCCAAAACAAAAAAAGGAAGTAGAAACATGTTTAATGTCTGTATGAATGAATGTGTTATTGATTTTTAAAGCTAAAGTTTGACATGGTTAAATATCAATAACTATAACCACCTCCTTTTAACCTTTACAAAGGATGACTGAGGTTGTTGTTATTAAAAAAGCAAACATCTAACAAAAACAAATGACTCAATCAAATTTTCACTTACTAAAATCATAAATTTGATTATAAATGCAAAATAATTAAATGATTTATAGGCCTCATGTCTCTCATACTTATTAAACTTAAGCAACAACCAGTGACTGTGACAAAACCGGGTTTTTAAAATCTTAATAAATATTTGCAATTTAAATCTCATCTAATAGATTCTAGCAATTGCATTAGAATGTCGTTTGTTTGTTTGTATTTAATATGTAAACACTTACCCATTCGGCACTGAAATATTTGCACCATCCAATATGGCTTGAGCCAATTGAAAATCTAATGCCTCGGCCGCTGTGGTGGCTGCCCTCAGGGCATCCCAGATTTCTTTGCGGCCATCGAAGGCAGGTGCTGTATCCCAAAACTCATCACGTTTGGAACGCAATTGGCCCTCTGTTAAAGGAACATCTGAACGCCAGCGTATTGTTTCATGGCACAAAGGACGATTTTTGCGTGCTGGTCCCACTTGGGGTCCTTAAATCAAAAACAAAACACACACACATATATCTCCTTAGTAGCAAATTTCCATAACTTTACTTTAACTTATTTCTTACCCGCTGTCGGCGGTCTGGACACACTGGCTGATGATACACTTACAGTTTCATTATCACCACTATAACGTCCCATACAACCACCCATTTCTCCCAAAATAAAAACTAAAAAATTTAATAAAATTACACAACAAAATTCTTTTCTTTTGCAACTTCAATTTTTCTTTTTTTCCTCAAAATTTGTGTGCCTTTAAACTTTTTAATATTTTCTTCAAATCAAAAAAAAATATTTATTTATATTTTCACTTCTTCTGCGTTTCTTGCTTTTTTTCTGAATGGAAACACAAATTTTGTATTTCTATTTTATTTCTTTATTTTTCTTCTCTCACTTAAGGTCACTTGTCGCTGTCACCTTTTTCATTTCGTACATATTTTTTGCTTTATTCTTTTAATTTTGTGCTTTTCTAAATCTTAATTTATTTTGATATGTTTTATAGGGAAATTTTGTGCACGTTTATTAGTATTTCATAAATAATTTTATGAAAAATACACGAAAAAATTTATAAAAAAAATTCAAGATATTTTTTTACTTCCGCACATATTTATTGGTTGTTCTTTTTTCGACCGTTTTCCACCAGAGCCCTGCGCCGACAAATATTAACGGCGACTGACACTAAATATGTCGGCGGCGGCTTAAAATCGACTGTAAACCGGCTAAGTGTTCAACTACGTTTAGTTTTTAGATTTTCAACGATTTTAAATAAAAACGGAATCCGAGAGATCAGAAAGTGGGATTTTGGAAGCAAATATATTGTTTATAACAACAAAACAGAGCAAGCACAAAAGTTGTGTGAGAAATTATGCAGGGATGGATAAAAAATTCTTAAAAATTAAAAACAAATCCTTTCTCCAAGTTTTACGAGGATAGGCCTATATTTGACCCTATCTTCCACATAAATCTTGCAGAAAATCAGTTTCTAAAAAATTTTGCATTAAGAAAATTATCAATAACGTAAAAACAAATATTTTTAAATTATTTTATTTATTTATTTATTTATTTATTTATTTATTTATTTATTTATTTATTTATTCATTTATTTATTTATTTATTTATTTATTTATTTATTTAATTATTTATACCTATTTTATTTAATTTCATATTCCTAAGTTCAATATTATAGAAAATTCAAAAAGTACCAGTTAAGGAAAGAAAAAGAACCAGAAAATACTCCAGTTTAAAATTTCATTCCCTCAAGTCCCTGATTGCTTAATTTCATGTTTCTAGGATCAATATTATAAAAAAAACACAAAAAGTACCTTTTAAAGAACGAAAAAGTAGCAAAAAGTCCCCTTTTATATGTCCTCACTTAATCCCGGCTATACATGCTTAATTTAATATTATGCTTAGGTTTAATATTATATAAAAACTCAAAATGTACCTTTTGAAGAACGAAAAAGTACCAAAAAGTCCCCTTTTATCCAGGCTCCACATGCTTAATTGCATGTTACTAGGTTAAATATTATAAATAATTCAAAAAGTACCAGTCGAAGAACGAAAAAGTACCAAAAAGTCCCCTTTTATAGATTCTAATTTACTCCGGGCTCTACATATTTATTTTTTATGTTTCAAGGTTTAAGTTTATAGAAAAGTTAAAAAGTACCAGTCGAAGTACGATAATGTACCAAAAGTAAAGATTCTCATTTACTTGGGGCTTTAAATGCTTAATTTCATGTTTCTAGGTTAAATTTTTATAGAAAACTCAAAAAGTACCAGTCGAAGAACGAAAAAGTACCAAAAAATACCATTTTATAGATCCTCATTTACTCCGGGCTCTACATGATTAATTTCATGTTTCTAGGATTAATTTTAAAGACAACTCAAAAAAGTACCTGCGTAGAACGAAAAAGTACCGAAAAGTCTATTTATTATTAATTTCATGGTTCAATTTCAATATTATAGAAAGCTCAAATAGTACCAGTTGGAGAATGAAAAAGTACCAAAAAATGTCACTTGGTACCGGGTGCACCCCATTAGCATATTTAGTGTTTATAAATCTAAAAATTTTATCTAAATTGGCTCATTGTGTTTGAATAAAATCAAATTTCCCATTTTTACCCCTTTTGGTAATTTTATCTCCTCATTAACGAAACAAAAATTATATTCCTAAAAGTTGCAACATCGTAGCGGGAGCCCGTTATTATGTATTCATACGTATGTATATGTTAATAAACCAAAAACAGTGTTATATGAAAAAAGTACCACAAATATATGCAATTTTCACCCCTTAAACGTCCGAATATCCAAAAAGTACTAAATTCAAATTTTTTTATTTTTTCGTCAAGTTATGAAGGAAAATATTGGTTTAAAAGATACATGGGGTGCAAAAAAGTAACAAACTACAGTTTTTACCCGTTTATTCCCTAAAGGGGCCGAATTTGAAAAAAGTACCACACCAGTCCGCTTTTTTTTAAATGAACGACGATAAGCTTTATACTGTTTTTATATCTTTTCTAGTTTAGGAGATATGAGGTTACCGAATTTACCAGTTTTTACCCATTTTTACCCCCTAAACATTCGAATTTCCAAAAATCCCGTCTTAGTGGATCTATTTAGTGGGAGACCAACCTCCTGTCCAAATTTAGCTTCAACCGTTTAGACTGTGCGATGATGCCTTAAATTATACTGTAAAAACATTGTAATGTTCGACTTGAATTCAAGTTTCCTTTTCACTGGAGAATGCTGTTGAATTAAAGCGTAATGAAAGTGTATTTCAACACTTGAAATTTGAATATTTGACTTGAATTAAACTTGTTTTAAACTTTAATTCCAGCAAGAATGCTTATTGGGTATTGTGTGACAATTAAAAGGTATCTAAAGTCGACATAAAGCCCACAATGGTTAGTACCAATACACATGTTCGATATCCTAGCCTTTTACGGTATGACATACCAGCTATGTAAAAAGGTGCAGTTCCGTTGACGTCAACTAAGCTGGTTTGAAGTAAAAGCAACGACTCGAATTAGGCGCGAAAACACGAAAATGTCTGAGGCGAAGCAATATGCATTGAACGTTTTACACACCGTTCAAATTACAATGAGCGGCTTAGTATTAGATAAAAGAAAACTAGCTTAAATGAAAACAAATTAATTTTATATTGTAAAATTACATAAATTTAGCTAAAGTGTTCTGTAAGTTATACAAAATATGGCAAAATTTTTAAGCCGTATTAAGCTGAAACATTTTTGGCGGCGGTGGTTTTGACATTTTGTTCGGCGGCTAGGCTTAGTCATTTTTCGACCGTTTTCCACTCATCTACTCATTTACAGAGTTGTATATTTTGTGGGTTGCCAATGTTAGAAGTTGAAATATTAAGTTGCCATATAACTAATATTAATAATAATTGGGAAAATATTGTAAGAGGGTTAATTAACGATTTTAACAGCCCAAATAAGTATTTATTTACAAATATTTAACATAAATTTTGTTATTTAGTTTAATGACAACCTACAGCCGTAGTCATCCAGATTTTATTCGTTTATTTTTGGTTTATTAATTACATTTTCCATACAAAATTCCAATAACATTATTAAGCATTTATGTTTACGAGCGTTTATAAGAATAAATAACTCATGCCAACAAAGCTGAAACCTAGGGACTAAATTATACTTATCTAAAGGATTGAGCTGCGCTGATTCTGAATCTAAAAAAGTATCCATCTCATCAGGTTTTCGAGATATTGTGTCATATAGTTTGAAAAACCCTGCTTTTGGCTATATTTTAGACGTTATAACAGCTAACAGACAAAAGTATGTTGTGTAGTCTGAAACTTAAATCTGCCGATTTTAAAATAAAGATTTAACATCTATTATATCTTCTTATTTCTTCTAGATATCTTAACTTAAATTTTGAAACAACTATAAATTCCAAAAAAAAAAATATATATATATATGTATATATTGCCTTTATTTTTTTTACAGCTAAAATTTCAACGGACAATAACTCAGCGAATACAAAATATTTTTAAACAATTCTAAAAGTATTGTTGTGCTAAAAGTTATGCGAAAATTTGTCATATAAAAACAAAGGCAAAATAAAGTAAAAAAATCCAGATTTCCTTAATGTATGGTTGTTTCAAGTTTAAGGTTAAGCTTGAATGATATAAGAAGAAGATATAACAGACATTAATTATTTATTTTAAAGACGCCAGATGGGGCTTTCAGGTGATTATTTAAATAGAGGTTTCTTCCCGCTGTTACTCAACTTCTCAAATATGACTAAAAATAGGGTTTTCAAAGTTTACGACACGATATCTCGAAAAATTTATGTGATGATCCAGATTAGGATTCAGCGCTACTCAATCCTTTAGAAAAGTATGCTTTGGTCTTTGAGTTTTTTTTTTTCAAATTTTGTTGGCCTTTATTATGGCCGATTTTTACGAAATGTAGTATATATTTGTTATAACTAAGTTTTTTTTAATAGAATTTTAAATTTTAATCAATATTAGTACGATATCCATGACGACTTAGAAAAAGGCCCTCAATGGCGTCTTGGGTCAATTATGGACGGAACTCTATCGAGTTTAATAGAGTAATTAATTACATATGATAAATCATCTAGAACAGATTTTTCAAAAAATTAAAGTAATTTATTAACGACTAAGTGATTTTCTCAAGGAAGATTTGTATATGTAGACTAGAGTCAAAACACCTATATTAATAAAATTTGGTGGGGGCATTGAGGTTTATACATATATAGCTAAGTCATGCCCTTTTTTTATTAAAGAAATTTTTCGGGGCATCATTTCTTGTTAGGTCATTGGTTAATTTTTTTCGCTAGACATTTTTGGTTATCGATGTAAAATTGTTTTAAAATTATATGTCGAAGTAATTTAACTTTTTATTCTGATATACAGGGGTTAAAAAACTACAATTGAACATTTTCGATATAAAAATCGTATATTTTTTCACGATTTCGACTTAAAGAAGTACTTACCACTAATGGTTACTAATAAGGAGTTAAATAGGTAGATTTGTTTTTGAAAAAAAGCCGACGAGGACATTTGGTCTTTATACAGGAATTTATAGGTAAAAATAGTGGGAATTCGAACTGTTTCAAAGTGCACAAGTCTGGTAACTCTTAAAATTTTAAAGAAATGCTTCATTCACAATAGTTGTTAAGTGACACAGGGTGTAGATATGCATATAAATATAATCCAACCGTTATATTTTTCTAATTTAAAATTAAACGGCCCTAACTAACCAAAAATTCAAAATCGATTATTATTATTATTGATTCTAATGTATTTTGGGTGTGAAGGTTATAAAAATCTTAAGGGTTTTTTATTTATATTGTGTATAGCTCTAGAATATTATAAAAATTACAACAGATTTTGGTTACCTCCAGCAAATTCGGGTAAATAGTTTGGTACTTTTTGAAAACATAATTGTTCTTGAGTAAATCAATGCATCGTGTGATTTTTATTTGTGATCAACACATTTAAACATGGAAGTATTTTGTAAACTTAATCCTCTAATAAGTCTGTTACTGGACGAAAAGGGAAAATCGTTTTTTTTTTTTAATTTTAATAGAAACAATAATTTTTAACCTAAAATGGGAACTTTTTGGTACTTTTTCGTTCATCAAATAGTACTTTCTGAATTTTCTTTAATATTGAACCTTAGAAACATAAAATTTAACAAGAATGAGAATCAGAATCTATAATAGGTGATTCGTTCGTTCCTCAAATGGTACTTTTTGAAAGTTCTGTAAAATGAAGCCAAAAGGCTTATTAAATTCGATTCTGTTAGAGGGAAATTTTTGGTGCTTTATCGTCCCTCAAATGGTAGTTTTTTGAATTTTCTATAATATTGAACCTAGAAATACAAATTTTAACATGCACGGTCCTGACTGACTACTTCTTCAAATCCTACTTTTTCAAAAACACATGAAACGCGGTACTTATTAAATGAGAATTTATAAAAAAGATATTCAAAAAACAATTCTCTAGAAGGGTCTAATAGTCTACTTTCTAATCGAGTATTACTTTATGAATTTACTACCAATATATAACACCACATTTATCTTTGTATTGTTGTTAGAAAGCTTCTGAATTTAGAGAGAAATTTTCCAATGTATTAATGACAGTGAGTAGTAATTCATTTTATCCATCAAACTTATGCAAGTGCAATTTATTGAGTGTAAGTAAGTAGTTACAAGCTTTTTAATTTACAAGCTTAATAATTTTATAAAAAAAAGTAAACTGCACAATAAAATAATGTAGATATCAGCAAACACTGATGTAGATCCAGAAATATGGATCAACAATTTTACAATTTAGAGACGCAATTAAATGAAAAACTAAGAAATTTCTCATATTTACAATACAGTTGATAATGGCGCCGATTTACATGAAACTTATGTGAGTGCAATTTATTGTGTGTTTTAGTTACAAGCTTTTTAAACTTAATTTAAAACAGTCTAGAATGTCAGCAAACACTGATGCAGATTCAGAATTATGGAGACAATTTTACAATTTAGAGACGCAACTAAATGAAAAACTAAGAAATTTCACAACACATCCAGAAATATCTTATATTTATAATCCGGTTGAATATGCCGCCGATTTACATCAAGCATATTTAAAAAAATACCTTAAGGGAGGTAAAAAAGTATTATTTATTGGTTTGAATCCAGGAGCTAATGGTATGGGGCAAACAGGTGTAAGTAGTTAGAAGAAGTTCAACAACGATTTGTCTAGTGTTTTTATATATTACTTATTGAACTGCTGCTAAAGTAAAAATTTGAATTTCTTTCAGATACCCTTCGGCAATATTACTACCGTTAAAGATATAATGGGACTTAATGGTACCGTTAACCAACCGCCCAACGTTCATCCGAAAAGACCTGTTAAAGGCTTAGCAGCTACAATAGAAGAACCAAGTGGTAAACGTCTATGGACTAAATTTCAAGAATTATCAGACGGATCTCTTGATATATTCTTTGAACAATGTTTTGTTTATAACTTTTGTCCGCTTCTCTTTTACAATAGCAAGGGTGATTATATTTCTCCCCAGAATTTGAAAGCACCTTATAAGCGACAAATTGGCAATGCTTGTTTACATACTATCGAACAAATATTAGAATTAATACAACCGGAAGTTATTGTAGCCATTGGACGTTATGCATATGATAATCTTAAAGCAGTAAAATATTGCATTGAAAAACGTCTATTATATCTACGTCATCCCAGTCCAAGAGCATGTACTAAAAATTGGTCAAAGATTGCAGATGCATTTTTTAAAAACGAAAATTTACTTAAGTATTTCAGAAAAACCAACAAAATAAACACAAACTGATGAAATCAGCAACCATAGAGTACATAGAAGGGAAACTCTGCTGTCAAGCACCTAAGTCTGTTGTCAAAAGCCTTAGTCGTCTGAATTTAGTAATAGGTAGTATTAGTGTATTCCCCATAGTTGGCATAACTCAACAAACACAAAATCTAATGTTTGAAAAAGTTATTAGATCTTATTTAATATTAAACATTTACGGTTCTTTAAAAGGAGAAATGGATGTAATGTTTGCATTAGATTTCCAGTTTAAAAATTAAAAAAAACATATGATTTACAATCTTTCTCGACCTTACGTGAAACCTCTGTGTTTGCTGGGTGCCTTATCCAGAAATTCAGACTTCACCTTTCATCAGTCTTTTAACCAACATTATCTTCCCACGATTTTGGATTTAAACAAAAGTCACCGAAGAGACCTCTCCAATAACCGGGACATGGCAAAAATTACAATCCAGACGAGTAAGAGAACGTACATTAATGTTTTAATTTTGATATGTTTTTATTTAAAATTAAAAATATTTTATTTATTATTTACATTCATTTTGACAAATGACTGTGGGTAACTCTAACAGGTGGTATGTTGAATTCACAGTACAGTGAAGAGCCTATGTTTTCAAAAAAATAATGACAACTTTCTCCTCTATGCGTTTCTCTATGTCAGAAACAATTATTTTAATTGATTACGATTTTACTAAAAGTATTTGAGAAATAAATCACAATTTTAAACAACTAGTTGATTGTAAGTTTTTGTTTGCAATTTGAAATGGATAAATAATATATATTTGTTGCGAATGGATAATTCTACTCCGGCGGAGTAATTTTCAATATTTGGCCATAATGTTGCAGCCGCCGGACGGATAAATACCTCATATGGGTTTTGTTATATAAAGCGTTCCGGAATAGACTTTTTTAGTTAATCTCTTTATCTACATAGTGTATATATAAAACAATATTGTGTAATATTTTAACATTTAATGGAAAAATTTTTTTCTTAAATAACATATTTGTATATATACCAATTATGCCATTATTTAAATAAAATGATATTTGTTTACGTTTTTTTTTTTAGATTTTTTACATAAATAATTCAAAATATTAACGAAGTTTTTCTCCGTTTAACGGAAATTTTTATATATAAAAATGTTAACAATAACAAACTTTGACAGCTACGTAAACCAGGCGACTTAAGAAAAAAAAATTATCAGCTGATTGAATAACACCACCTTATATGAATTCGCCTTGAGTTGGTCTTAATGCAGAAATTTTTAGGTCGAAATAGTGGGAATTCGAACTTTTTCAAAGTGCATAAGTATGGTAACTCTAGAAAATTGTATAGAAATGTGTCATTCACAATAGTCGTAAACTGACACAGGGTGTAGATATACATATGTATAATTAAAATCCAGTCGTTATATTTTTTTTATACCCTTCACCTTCGTGAGAAGGGCATATATAAGTTTGTTATTCTGTTCATTATTTAAAAAAAAAATATTAATTTTGTGACCTAATAAGGTACAAATACAATATGTAACTCCCTATAGGTATCGAAGTTGGTTTAGCTATGTCCGTCTGTCATGTAACATGTGCTTGTCCTACTAGGAAGTCAATCGTCACCCCACAGATTACGAAGAGACAGCAAAAAGCTTAAGTTTGTTTTTTTTTATGTGTCCACTCTATCGCTTACAAAGGGTACAATAAAGTGACGATTATCTTCACCAAAGAGTACAGCCGTGACCAGTTGGTTAGACGTTACTGGAAATCTTTTTCGGATGCATTGACTCTTTGTCGAACTGTAGCATGTAAGTCCCGTAGTAAATGAGAACCTATAAAATGAGCCTTTTTGGTACTTTTTCGTTCTTCAAAAGGTACTTTTTCAATTTGCTAGGGGACTTTTTGGTACTTATTCGTTCTTTAAAAGGTACTTTTTGAACTATTGAGTCTAGAAATATGAAATTAAGCATATAGAGCCCGCATTAAGGTAGAACCTATAAAATGGGACTTTTAGGTACTTTTTCGTTATTCAAAAGGTACTTTTTGAATTTTCTATAATATTGTACCTGGAAACATAAAATTAAGCATGTAGAGCCCGGAGAACTTATAAAATGGGACTTTTTGATACTTTTTCGTTCTTCAAAAGGTACTTTTTGAATTTGCTAGGGGACTTTTTGGTACTTTTCGTTCTTCAAAAGGTACTTTTTGAATTTTCTATAATATCGAACCTAGAAACATGAAATTAAGCATGTAGAGCCCGGAGTAAGTGAGAACATATAGAAGGGGACATTTTGGTACTTTTTCGTTCTTCAAAAGGTACTTTTAATAATATTGAATGTAGAAACATAAAATCAAACATTCAAATCTATAAAGGGGGACTTTTTGTAATAAAATACGTTTTTTTAAACACACTATGGTGAAGGGTATATAAGATTCGGCATAGCCGAATATAGAAGTCTTATTTGTTTTAAACTTATGCGCTGTTTTAAACGGCTTATTATCTTAAATTTACACTTTTTATTTAAATTTCATGATTTAAAAAGTAAACGTGAATGTTTCATTTTAAAGATAAAAACTAATTTAAATATAAAATAATTTAATAAACCAAACAGTATTTAAGTAAGAATTTAAAGCAGAAATTGTTATTTATTATTAGGCAGAAAAATGTTTTTAAAAACTAAATTATTACTAGTAGTTTTACTAAGTTTAAACGAAATAATTTTTGGTAAAAAAATCGACTATTGTGACCAGCAGATGTGTCCACATCAAGGCATTCATGTGGCCTGCAATAAAACAAAAGTATATTGTAAATTTTAAAAAATTCAATTTTATTTCTTTTATATTATTTAAGAGTTTTAGTAAAGATTGCGAGGGCGAACTGAAAGTGGAAAATATGAAACCTTACATTAATATGATTTTGGATGAACACAATAGTTATAGAAATCTAGTGGCCTCGGGTAAGGTTAAATGTTTTTATCCAGCTGTAAGAATGCCTTTATTGGTGAGTTTTTTTAAAATAATTTTAAACAAAATCAATTATTATTATTTTAATCAGAAATGGGACTCCGATTTAGCGGAAACTGCTGAATACAATGTACGCTCTTGTGTGTTTGCTCACGATCAGTGCCGCAGCACTAAAAAATTTCCAATGGCTGGACAAAATATTTATATGGCCAAAACTAGTCGCATCAATGTTACAGTAGAGGGTTTTATCAAAGAAGCCATATTTTTATGGTTTGAGGAACAATTTGATGCGGATCATGAAGTTCTAATGTCCTATCATAAAACTACGTAAGATCTATTTTTACCAAAATACAAAAAAAATATATATATTTTTCTTTATTTCCCCAAATTATTTAGACCCCAAACGGGCCATTTTACACTGCTGGTAAATGATCGTCATAATCGGGTGGGTTGTGCTTTTCTAAATAATCTCTTGAAACCAGACAAACGCTTTGTCATCTTTACCTGCAATTACTCATCGACAAATATACGAGGGGTGCCGAGTTATAAACCAGGGAGAGCGGCCTCTAAGTGTAAAAAACGCAATGCCAAATATAAATCATTATGTGAAGATGAAATAGATCCCAATGATTTAACTTGGTATAATGATTAGATTCAGCCAATAAAAAATACTAAACATTTTATTAACATAAAAAACGTAAGAGTAAATTCAAAGAGTTTTCAAAACATAAACACTAACATTCTCTTTTAGCCCCAAAAAGTGTTAAGAGTTTTAGTTTAAGTTTTCAAAAATATTAAACCTGCATAGTTCATTCGTTCATAGATCGTGTTCGTAATACTATCTTACCAAATGCATTTCGCATATAATCGGTTTCTATTTCTAAAAGTCTGTAACACCAACAGCAGCAACTACAATAGCAATATGCAACGATCGTTTTGATCGTTTCTTTAAAACGAAAATTAAAACATAGAAATATATGAAAAAATATGAAAGAAAAGATAAACAAGAAACCAGACGACCTCGACGTTAAGTTGTTGTAAAAAAAGGTTGTAAAGTTAATTAAATATTTTGTGATGTTAGGGCAACAGTGAGTAATCGGTTTTATTTGTAGATAACTTTTAAGCACTATGTCACGATCAATATAGAAATTTTACCTTAAATTTGTTTAAAGAAACTTAATGGTGCAAAATTACATAGTTTTATTATACCAATTTTATTATTTAGATTATTTGGGAGCTGTCACGTCCATTATTACTAGTTCACTAACTTTTTTCCAAAATGTGTATTTGGATGTCAAAAAAGGCCTTTCAGACATATAGGAGACACTCTTAAAAAATTAAGGAAATTGGTCCATATAAGGATCAAACGTCATATGAAATTGGACTTGGGAAATACTGACAACAAAAGTTATTAATTTTGACCTTTGTGGAAAATCGAGAACTAGTTGTAGTTCAGTTCTAGTTCAGTTATAGTTATAGTTCAGTTCTAGTTTCAGTTCAGTTCTAGTTCAGTTCAGTTCTAGTTCAGTTCTAGTTCAGTTCTAGTTCAGTTCTAGTTCAGTTCTAGTTCAGTTCTAGTTCAGTTCTAGTTCAGTTCTAGTTCAGTTCTAGTTCAGTTCTAGTTCAGTTCTAGTTCAGTTCTAGTTCAGTTCTACTAGTTCAGTTCTAGTTCAGTTCTAGTTCAGTTCTAGTTCAGTTCTAGTTCAGTTCTAGTTCAGTTCTAGTTCAGTTCTAGTTCAGTTCTAGTTCAGTTCTAGTTCAGTTCTAGTTCAGTTCTAGTTCAGTTCTAGTTCAGTTCTAGTTCAGTTCTAGTTCAGTTCTAGTTCAGTTCTAGTTCAGTTCTAGTTCAGTTCTAGTTCAGTTCTAGTTCAGTTCTAGTTCAGTTCTAGTTCAGTTCTAGTTCAGTTCTAGTTCAGTTCTAGTTCAGTTCTAGTTCAGTTCTAGTTCAGTTCTAGTTCAGTTCTAGTTCAGTTCTAGTTCAGTTCTAGTTCAGTTCTAGTTCAGTTCTAGTTCAGTTCTAGTTCAGTTCTAGTTCAGTTCTAGTTCAGTTCTAGTTCAGTTCTAGTTCAGTTCTAGTTCAGTTCTAGTTCAGTTCTAGTTCAGTTCTAGTTCAGTTCTAGTTCAGTTCTAGTTCAGTTCTAGTTCAGTTCTAGTTCAGTTCTAGTTCAGTTCTAGTCAGTTCTAGTTCGTTCTAGTTCAGTTCTAGTTCAGTTCTAGTTCAGTTCTAGTTCAGTTCTAGTTCAGTTCTAGTTCAGTTCTAGTTCAGTTCTAGTTCAGTTCTAGTTCAGTTCTAGTTCAGTTCTAGTTCAGTTCTAGTTCAGTTCTATTCAGTTTTCTAGTTCAGTTCTAGTTCAGTTCTAGTTCAGTTCTAGTTCAGTTCTAGTTCAGTTCTAGTTCAGTTCTAGTTCAGTTCTAGTTCAGTTCTAGTTCAGTTCTAGTTCAGTTCTAGTTCAGTTCTAGTTCAGTTCTAGTTCAGTTCTAGTTCAGTTCTAGTTCAGTTCTAGTTCAGTTCTAGTTCAGTTCTAGTTCAGTTCTAGTTCAGTTCTAGTTCAGTTCTAGTTCAGTTCTAGTTCAGTTCTAGTTCAGTTCTAGTTCAGTTCTAGTTCAGTTCTAGTTCAGTTCTAGTTCAGTTCTAGTTCAGTTCTAGTTCAGTTCTAGTTCAGTTCTAGTTCAGTTCTAGTTCAGTTCTAGTTCAGTTCTAGTTCAGTTCTAGTTCAGTTCTAGTTCAGTTCTAGTTCAGTTCTAGTTCAGTTCTAGTTCAGTTCTAGTTCAGTTCTAGTTCAGTTCTAGTTCAGTTCTAGTTCAGTTCTAGTTCAGTTCTAGTTCAGTTCTAGTTCAGTTTAGTTCAGTTCTAGTTCAGTTCTAGTTAGTTTCGTTCTAGTTCCTTCTAGTTTCAGTTCTAGTTCAGTTCAGTTCGTTCTGTTCAGTTCTAGTTCAGTTCTAGTTCAGTTCTAGTTCAGTTCGAGTTCAGTTCTAGTTCAGTTCTATTTATAAATCGGTAACTTAATTATCTCCGTTAAATCCATATTTTACAAACAAATTATACAATAGTAATTAATAGTAATTAAAGACAATAACATACTACCACAAAATGGTACCACAAAATGTATGACTAAAACAGCTTCTCAAGATCGAAAGTATGACTCAAAGCAAGAAACAAAAGTAATCGGTTCTCCAGAAATGCAACGAAATTCAGAAACTCCAATAAACTATATAACCAAACGCACACATAGGGAAGTAAGACGTACGGACCGACTAAGACATACACAGATACAAGCTACACTAGCAGTACAATAAATAATAACAACAACAAGAAATTAAAAAACCAAAATTGATTTTTTTCAAAAGCCAGACTTGGTTTGCAGAGCTTCGAACAAGAAAAAACGAAAGACTTCAATTCAGTTTGCTGAAGACAACGAACTCGACAAGACGTCGAAATCGAAGAAAACGCGATTTTAAACAAAACGGTTAAGAAACGGTGGGTAAAAAAAATAAAAAGTGGCTAAAATAAAAAAGATCATAACAATAAAACGTGAGTGAGAGTGTATAAATATTTCTAAAGTGAGTAGAGTACTACTACTTAATATTAAACATGTGTGATTGTTGGTAATTCTTTTTTTGTGATTGTTATGCACACGACAAGTGAGAGGAATTTTTAAGTAACCCAATACCAACAGCAAAAAGTAGTATTCAAAATTATAAAAAAAGTGTAAAACTAAATAAACAAAAACAACAATGAAATTTCAAATTTGGTTTAAATAATAAACAAGTTTTTGATAAAAAAAAAATTATAAGAAAAAGAAATAAAAAATTAAGCCACGACAGAGTTTAAATGAAGAAATTTGTAGAAAAAAATTAACAACTTAAAGAAGATTAAGTTGAAAACTAAAATTTTTAATTAAATTAAAATTATTTTAAACAAAAGTGAAACTAAAAGTGTTTTTAAAACTGCTAAAAATTTTGTTTTTATAATTATTGTTGTTTTTTTTTTTATTTAAATAAAATTTATGATTTTATAATTTTCATGGTGTTTAAATCGTTTTGGGAACTCTCTGAGTGTTGAAAAGAGAGAGTTTTGATTTAAAGAAAAAGGTTTAAGTATAAATTTTTTAAGTAAAAGAGCAAATTTTTTTTTCTCTTTATTTGCTGAATTTTTTTTGGTTAAATATTCGTATTTTTCGTTACGTTTCTTTTCTTGAACCGTTAATTATTCAACCGTATTAAATAAATCACTGCAACAACAACAACAACCTTTAGTTTTTTTGATATTAACAACAATTTTTGACCAAAATATTACAAAAGATTTTCAAATTATGTGAAAGTTTATTTATTTATTTCTTTTGTTTCTTATTTTCTTTTTGGTCTAATCAAAAAAAAAAAAAAAAAAAAATAGTTTCGCTTTTAGTTTGAAAACGTTTCTTTTTTGCTTTTGACATTCCATCAGACCATTTGACAGCAGAGATTATTTTTGTTGATATTTCTTTAAAATTTCAAAACTATAAGTTCTGAACTTGTAGCAGTTAAAGTTTCAGAGATTTGGTTGTGTAATTTAATTCAAATCGAGAACTTTCAAAACTATGCTTTTTGAATTTGCAGTTTTAGGCTAAAAGTTCAACTTTTCAAAAAAAAATTTACAAGCCGACTAAATTTGAAAAAACAAAAGTTGAAACCCCAGATACTGAAGTATACATTCCTAAATTATTGACGTTGGAATTTCGCCATCACATAAGGTTTTCGAGATTGTTTGCCCACATATAAACCAATTAAAATTCATATTTTAAAGAAAAAAAACCCTAATATTATACAAAAATCTATCAAAATTTATCTTAAAATTTGCAATTCAAAATCAAATTGACATAAGTTTTTAAGTATTTATTTGTGCGTCATTATCTTTTTTATGTAACTCGTTTTTTATTTTTGATACATAAATATATAATAACTTTTGGCCATTAAGTTTCGCTTTTAGTTTTAATTTTTTAAACAACAATAGCAGCAGCATCTAAAAATGACATTTAAACCAAATATTCCTAAACTTGAAATCGTAGAAAAAAAAACAGGTAAATTAATATATACATGTTGTAGCTATGTTTTATATTTTTTCTTTCAAGAAAACCAGCTGAAGAATGATTCAAACCAATAGCACAAAAAAAAAAATAAATAAAATATTAAACTTGATCTCCTTGGCTTAAAAGGGTGGTTAGTTATTATAATGAACTGTAGAATATTAATAAAAATAATAATGTACTTACTAATACTATAATGAAACACAACAATTTAAAAACTACTAATTTAATTATAACAACTTTAGTATGTTAGTTAGTTAGATAGATAGATAGGGATAGATAGATAGATAGATAGATAGATAGATAGATAGATAGATAGATAGTTAGTTAGTTAGTTAGTTAGTTAGTTAGTTAGTTAGTTAGTTAGTTAGTTAGTTAGTTAGTTAGTAGTTAGTTACTTAGTTAGTTAGTTAGTAGTTAGTTAGTTAGTAGTTAGTTAGTTAGTTAGTTAGTTAGTTAGTAGTTAGTTAGTTAGTTAGTAGTTAAGTTAGTTAGTTAGTTAGTAGTTAGTTAGTTAGTTAGTTAGTTAGTTAGTTAGTTAGTTAGTTAGTTAGTAGTTAGTTAGTTAGTTAGTTAGTTTAGTTAGTTAGTTAGTTAGTTAGTTAGTTAGTAGTTAGTTAGTAGTTAGTTAGTTAGTTAGTTAGTTAGTTAGTTAGTAGTTAGTTAGTAGTAGTTAGTTAGTTAGTAGTTAGTTAGTAGTTAGTTAGTTAGTTAGTTAGTTAGTTAGTTAGTGTAGTTAGTTAGTTAGTTAGTTAGTTAGAGTTAGTTAGTTAGTTAGTTAGTTAGTTAGTTAGTTAGTTAGTAGTTAGTTAGTTAGTTAGTAGTTAGTTAGTTAGTTAGTTAGTTAGTTAGTTAGTTAGTAGTTAGTTAGTTAGTTAGTTAGTTAGTAGTTAGTTAGTTAGTTAGTTAGTTAGTTAGTTAGTTAGTTAGTTAGTTAGTTAGTTAGAGTAGTTAGTTAGTTAGTTAGTTAGTTAGTTAGTTAGTTAGTTAGTAGTTAGTTAGTTAGTAGTTAGTAGTTAGTTAGTTAGTTAGTAGTTAGTTAGTTAGTTAGTTAGTTAGTTAGTTAGTTAGTTAGTTAGTTAGTAGTTAGTTAGTTAGTTAGTTAGTTAGTTAGTTAGTTAGTTAGTTAGTTAGTTAGTTAGTAGTTAGTTAGTTAGTTAGTTAGTAGTAGTTAGTTAGTAGTTAGTTAGTTAGTTAGTTTAGTTAGTTAGTTAGTTAGTTAGTTAGTTAGTAGTTAGTTAGTTAGTTAGTTAGTTAGTAGTTAGTTAGTTAGTTAGTTAGTTAGTTAGTTAGTTAGTTAGTTAGTTAGTAGTTAGTTAGTTAGTTAGTTAGTTAGTTAGTTAGTTAGTTAGTTAGTTAGTTAGTTAGTTAGTTAGTTAGTAGTTAGTTAGTTAGTTAGTTAGTTAGTTAGTTAGTTAGTTAGTTAGTCGTTAGTTAGTTAGTTAGTAGTTAGTTAGTTAGTTAGTTAGTTAGTTAGTTAGTTAGTTAGTTAGTTAGTTAGTAGTTAGTTAGTTAGTTAGTAGTTAGTTAGTAGTTAGTTAGTTAGTTAGTAGTAGGTAGGTAGGTAGGTAGGTAGGTAGTTAAAACATTCAACTGTTGCCTATATACAATAATTTTTAAAAAACTCTTTCTTTAGAGAAATAGTTTGAAATTTCTAAAATCAACAAAAAACTATTGTTACATTTTATTTTAAATTACAATTCAAACTAATTTTCTCTTCCTCTGCCATATTAAATAAAGTTTGTGACTTAAGTCTTTTGTGTTGCCATTACCAAATCAATACGTGAGTTGTTTTTATACACACACACAGTTATAAGTTCTTTTTTTACATTTATAAAATGTTTTAAACAGAATTAACACACTTTTTGTACAAAATTTATTACACTGCGTGTTGTTGTTGTTGCTCTTTTTCTTAAATGACATTTTATTAAAAGACAAAGACTCTCTATCTCTAAAGAGCTTTAAAAAAGTTCTCTCTTTCTTTTAAAGTACAGAGTAAAGTTGTTAAACAGTTAGCAATAAAAATTATACAGTTAACAATAAAAATTGAGCAAATTTTTCAATTACTCAATTTAATTTGCATAACAGAGAGATACTTAAAGAATTTTGACAAAAATTGCTGTAAATTTGTTATTTGTTTTTATAGATTTATTATTATATTTAGGTCTTTTTACAGTTACTTTAATGTAAATTTATAAATAAACTTCAACTTTTAAAGGTTCGTTAATAAATTTGTTGTTATTTTTTAGTAATAAATAATTTCTATTGATTTGCAAATACGAAAACCTTGAACAAAATTGAAAGTGTTTTAAAATCATTAAGTAAAATGACTTGACTTATTTAATCAATTGTTTATATACAAAAAGTAAATAAACTATTAAATAATTCCAAATACCTTCTACAAATATTTATAAATATTTGTAAATATAAATTATTTTCTTTAACTTGGTATTTCCCTTTAAAACAAGCAAACTGAGTCATTACTTTCAAGACCTTTAAAAAAAATTATAATAAATTTTGAGCATTAATAAAGTAAAACCTTCAATCAATCCTCTACAACTTCTTTTAAACACTATGACACATCATTATCAATTCCCCCCAACGTCATCATGGTTTTAATAACATAAATTATCAGAAAAGACAACAAAATTTCTTTAAAGAAAAATTGCTTTAAATTCCATTTTAATGGTTATTATTTTAGCGTTTTTTAAACTGCAACAAAGGATTTTTTGCTGAAAGCAAAGAAATAAAATCCCAAAAGAATTTTGGAACAAGAAAATTAGTCATTTCCCTTAAGGTAAGTTTAACTGCTAATAAAATATTTATTTAAAATTGATTACAAATAATAAAAATATTTTTGTAACCTTTAAAATATTTTATATTGCAAATATTATTTATGTCTCGTTATTTGATTGAGGCGTGGATTATAACAATAATTTTAAATGACAATCAATATCTTTATGTTTAACAGTATTTTTTCATTTTTTTTTTTTTTTTTGCAACTTTCCGGTTTGTCTGGTTAACGGTTGTATCGTTATTTTTTTAACTTAAGGAGGCCTAAGTAAGAAATATATATTTTTTTGTTGTTTTACCATGTTGTAAGTGGCATTTATAGTTATTTCCTACTTTCAATATAACTACCAGCATATTTTTTTTATTATTACATTTTTATGAAACTTTTGTGCTATTTTTAGTCTTCATTTGACATCTGTCCTTTATTTATGGTATTTTCTGATACATTTGCAATAAAAGTTTACGACAGATATTGTGAACTATTTAGTTGTATGTTAAAAACTAGCTTTAGACTTCAACTTAAAAGCTGAAGTATGAATAGCTGTAACCAGTGTGCTTTGCTGCTCTCATTATTATGGCACATATTAAACAAAACTTAATAAGTACCTTTAGAAAAACGAAAAAGTATCATAAAATCCCTTTTGTGAATTCTTAACATATAAGATGATAAGTACTAAAAAAGTACCAATAAGTTCCCCTTATAAATTTTTTACCCAGTTGTAGTTCAGTTCTAGTTCAGTTCTAGTTCAGTTCTAGTTCAGTTCTAGTTCAGTTCTAGTTCAGTTCTAGTTCAGTTCTAGTTCAGTTCTAGTTCAGTTCTAGTTCAGTTCTAGTTCAGTTCTAGTTCAGTTCTAGTTCAGTTCTAGTTCAGTTCTAGTTCAGTTCTAGTTCAGTTCTAGTTCAGTTCTAGTTCAGTTCTAGTTCTAGTTCTAGTTCAGTTCTAGTTCAGTTCTAGTTCAGTTCTAGTTCAGTTCTAGTTCAGTTCTAGTTCAGTTCTAGTTCAGTTCTAGTTCAGTTCTAGTTCAGTTTCTAGTTCAGTTCTAGTTCAGTTCTAGTTCAGTTCTAGTTCAGTTCTAGTTCAGTTCTAGTTCAGTTCTAGTTCAGTTCTAGTTCAGTTCTAGTTCAGTTCTAGTTCAGTTTCTAGTTCAGTTCTAGTTCAGTTCTAGTTCAGTTCTAGTTCAGTTCTAGTTCAGTTCTAGTTCAGTTCTAGTTCAGTTCTAGTTCAGTTCTAGTTCAGTTCTAGTTCAGTTCTAGTTCAGTTCTAGTTCAGTTCTAGTTCAGTTCTAGTTCAGTTCTAGTTCAGTTCTAGTTCAGTTCTAGTTCAGTTCTAGTTCAGTTGAGTTCTAGTTCAGTTCTAGTTCAGTTCTAGTTCAGTTCTAGTTCAGTTCTAGTTCAGTTCTAGTTCAGTTCTAGTTTCAGTTCTAGTTCAGTTCTAGTTCAGGTTCTAGTTCAGTTCTAGTTCAGTTCTAGTTCAGTTCTAGTTCAGTTCCAGTTCAGTTCTAGTTCAGTTCTAGTTCAGTTCTAGTTCAGTTCTAGTTCAGTTCTAGTTCAGTTCTATTTCAGTTCTAGTTCAGTTCTAGTTCAGTTCTAGTTCAGTTCTAGTTCAGTTCTAGTTCAGTTCTAGTTCAGTTCTAGTTCAGTTCTAGTTCAGTTCTAGTTCAGTTCTAGTTCAGTTCTAGTTCTAGTTCAGTTCTAGTTCTGTTCTAGTTCAGTTCTAGTTCAGTTCTAGTTCAGCTCTAGTTCAGTTCTAGTTCAGTTCTAGTTCAGTTCAGTTCTAGTTCAGTTCTAGTTCAGTTCTAGTTCAGTTCTAGTTCAGTTCTAGTTCAGTTTCTAGTTCAGTTCTAGTTCAGTTCTAGTTCAGTTCTAGTTCAGTTCTAGTTCAGTTCTAGTTCAGTTCTAGTTCAGTTCTAGTTCAGTTCTAGTTCAATTCTAGTTCAGTTCTAGTTCAGTTCTAGTTTAGTTTTAGTTTAGTTCTAGCTCAGTTCTAGTTTAGTTCTAGTTCAGTTCTAGTTCAGTTCTAGTTCAGTTTTAGTTCAGTTCTAGTTTATTTCTAATTCAGCTCTAGCTCAGTTCTGGTTTTTAATTATTTTCAGACATAAGAACGAAGATAGCTAAATCGACTCAGCAATTATTTTTGAGCTGATCGGACTTTAACTGTTGAGTGTAGGACCAATATTTCTAAGAATTACAAACGTTAGCACAAACCTATAATATATAGTTGTCTAGGTTATAGTTCATTAGCACAAAAAGTGAAATTGTTATTAAAACTTTTTAGAAAAACAAACTCAATAAACTAAAATTCTAGAAATTCTATTTAAAACTTGTCTAATTAAATGTAGCTCTACTTTTAATATAAATTACTTACCAACATTACTTATCATGCCTAGACTAAAACAAAAGACTTAAGAAACAAACTTTCAAGTAAGGTAGGCTTTCTAAGGTTTGTGTAGTATTTTCTAGAAATTATCACAATTAAAAAATTAAATTGCATTTTAAATTAAACAAAAAAACAAGTTTAAAATAACGGTTTCTCAAATGAGGATATATAATAATTGTTAACAAAAAATAAGCTACCTATAACAACAGAGTTATATTCCTAAGGAAAAAATTATTTAAAAATATTATTCTAAAAAAATAAATTAAACAAATAAAACAAAAATTGTGAAACAAGTTTTGTAAACTTAACATTTTGCATACAATTCTACTCTACGGCGGATACGAGTTCAAAAATAAAGCCAGTTTTAATACTTACAATATATATATAAACCCACCATAGATTAAAATAATTATTATAATATACAAAACAACAAAAAATATAAAGTATTTGGCAAGTTTTCAGTTTCTTTGTATGATTAGTGTTTGGTCAGTTGGTCGGTCAGTTAGCCAGTTTTGTTTTTCATTATTTTAAATACAAGTCTAAATGAAACTGGTCTCACTTTTAAACAAAGACTTTTAATGAAATAATTTTAGCACACTCATACTGGTGTTCTCGTGTTTAAAATTTAAGAAAGAAAAAAAAAAAAAATGAAACTGAATTGAAAACAACATTAAGTTAAAATTGTTTTCTTGTTGTTATTGCAGCTTTTGTTTCATGTTTTATTAACAAATACAAAAAAAGCGGTAGAATAAATTTTATATATATATATATTTTTTTTTGTAGATTTAATGCTCGCTTGGTCAATTCAAATAAATAGCTTAGTAGTACTAGTAGTTAGTATGTCTGTCTGTCCATCCAGTTGTTTTCAAATATCTTAAGAGCGTGTGCGCTTTAGTTTGTGGTAATAGTTCAACATTCGCTTTTTTCTTTTTTTCGCTTTATTTCTTTGTTGCGCTTTAATGCTTTTTTGAATAGAAAAAACTTTTTATTTAAGCTCTTTTTCAGTTTGGTTGCTAGTTTTTCTTTGCTTGTATAAGTTTTATTTGGTTTTTTTTTTTAGTTTTACTTTCACTTTTATAGTTTCTTTCATAAGTTTCATTGTAAAATTTAGTTTTTAGCTTGTTTAAATTTCTTGTTTAGTTTGGATGACGTCTAAAATAATTTTAGTTTCTATGGTATTATTTAAACCAATTCAATTCCCCCGCTTTGTTGGTTTCGCCTGTATGCTTTAATTAATTTATAACAATTATAGTTTATTGATTCAAAATTGGGTTTCGAGTTTCATGAAGTAATACGTTGTTGCATTCCAAAATAAATGATTGTTGTTAGTTTAACAAAATATTGCAAAAAAGTTTTAAAAATAACTAAAAGTAGAGCAGAAAATATTTATAAATTTAAAAAATATAATAATAAATTAATTAAAAGCAAGTAAAAGTAACATATTTAATTTAAATCTTTTTAATAAAATTTTTATTTTTATTTTTCATCATATAGAGTCTTCCATCCCTAACTACCGTTAAGTTATTATAAACAAATTGTTAAAAGCTGTTAAAATTTTCAATGTATCTTGAATTTATAATTTCAAAAAAGAAAAAGTGTAATTTTGCCCATAGGTTCTGCATTATCTCGCGGCTGGGAAAATACGTTAGGAATGAAGATTGAACACGTCTAGGTTTCCAAAACTAAGTTTTTTTAAGATCTAGCCGAGTGCTAGAGCCTACTTTAAGCTTCCATATAGCGGTCGCTGGTGCCTTTGTCAGGTCCATTTTTAAACTAGCCCTTTAAATATGCCAGATTTATTTCCAAAAATTTTCATTCTGCCCCACTGTGCTTCTTTCTATGCAGTTTTTGCCAAAAAATAAATGAATATTTTGGAGATCTATAGTTGTTTCAAGCTTAAATTTAAGATATCTCGTAGAAGAATGAGGTTAAACCTTTATTTTATAGTCGACAAATTGGACTTTCGGACAACATAACGGATTTTATATATAAAGGTATCTTACCACTTTTAAAAAGGTCTCAAATGTGACTAAAAAACAGAGTTCCAGTTCAGTTCTATTTCAGTCTATTTCAGTTCTAGTTCAGTTCTAGTTCAGTTCTAGTTCAGTTCTAGTTCAGTTCTAGTTCAGTTCTAGTTCAGTTCTAGTTCAGTTCTAGTTCAGTTCTAGTTCAGTTCTAGTTCAGTTCTAGTTCAGTTCTAGTTCAGTTCTAGTTCAGTTTCTAGTTCAGTTCTAGTTCAGTTCTAGTTCAGTTCTAGTTCAGTTCTAGTTCAGTTCTAGTTCAGTTCTAGTTCAGTTCTAGTTCAGTTCTAGTTCAGTTCTAGTTCAGTTCTAGTTCAGTTCTAGTTCAGTTCTAGTCAGTTCTAGTTCAGTTCTAGTTCAGTTCTAGTTCGTTCTAGTTCAGTTCTAGTTCAGTTGTCTAGTTCAGTTCTAGTTCAGTTCTAGTTCAGTTCTAGTTCAGTTCTAGTTCAGTTCTAGTTCAGTTCTAGTTCAGTTCTAGTTCAGTTCTAGTTTCAGTTCTAGTTCAGTTCTAGTTCAGTTCTAGTTCAGTTCTAGTTCAGTTCTAGTTCAGTTCTAGTTCAGTTCTAGTTCAGTTCTAGTTCAGTTCTAGTTCAGTTCAGTTCAGTT